TCCCCTGGTGTTAGATTAACCTGCGTTCTACATGTCAGGGAGATTTCTGTCCATCTAGTAGTTTGGCTGTTACAATTGTGAAAGGGGCCGTTAAACCACAGGCCATTTTGCAGATGGGAAAATCAAGGCACAGAGGCAGTCAAAAGGCACGTGAGGAGCAGGCCAGGGCTGGGGAGTAAGGAGTCTGGTTTCAGACTTCCCCTTGGCCCTGGTGGCCCTAAGGGGACCTTTCTCTCCTGACAGTTCCAGTCATGCCCCCAGGATGGCAAAACCGTGTCCTTTCTTCTCCACAAGGTTTTTGTTTTTCTTGTTGGAAGGTAAATGTGTTTTCTAGAACAGCCTTAACAAAAAGCCACGGTCGGAGTGGCTTAAAGCGACAGAAATGAATTCCCCACAGTTCTCGAGGTTGGACATCAGGAATCGCGGTGTCGGCCGGGCCTTGCTCCCTTCCTGGTTTCTCCCAGCTGCTGGTTGTTGGCAGAACTCGCTGTCCTTGGCTTGTGGACACACTGGTCTAGCCACTTCCGCCACAGTCAACAGCGTTCTCTCTCTGTGTCCAGACCCCGCCCCTTGTCTACTCTGGACACCAGGCATTGCATTTAGAGTCCACCCATTGTGTGGCATAGCGGGTAAAGCCGCTGCCTGCAGCGCCAACATCCCATGGGCACTGGTTCTAGACCCGGCTGCTCCACTCCCAATCCAGCTCTCTGCTGTGGCCTGGGAAAGCAGTAGAAGATGGCCTAGATGCTTGGGCCCCTGCACCCACATGGGAGATCTGGAAGAAGCACCGCGCTGATCTGAAGGCAGGAGCCAGGTGCTTCTCCTGGTCTCCCATGGGGTGCAGGGCCCAAGCACTTGGGCCATCCTCCACTGCACTCCCGGGCCACAGCAGAGAGCTGGCCTGGAAGAGGGGCAACCAGGACAGAATCCAGCACCCCGACCTGGACTAGAACCCGGTGTGCCGGCGCCGCAGGCGGAGGATTAGCCTAGTGAGCCGCGGTGCCGGCTGGTGGTTGTGAATTTTAAGGGGACACTATTAAACCCTTAAGTAGAATCTGTCCTGTTGAACAGAAAGCGTGGTTTCTGAAATTGTAACAGTACCAAGCATTCTCAGGGAAGCGTGAGCATCTCTATCATTGGAGGCCCCAGGCCCCACTTCTGTGCCCCGGGGCCTCTATCCGGAAATGATGCGTAGGTCAGCATCTCGGACATGCCCTCCAGCCTTCTGATCGCACTTGGTGGCACACCTGACATGCTCATTTGTCCTTTGGTTCCTTTGGTTCGGATTCACTGTCTTAGAATAATACTGCATTCCCGACGTGCTGCCTCTTGTCCAGCCTGCCCCACAGTCCCGGCGGTCATCCGTGTCTGGACTTGCTGCTGTCCCTGGGGTCCAGGACCCCTCCGATCCCCATGTTGCTACCTAAGGAAGGTTGGGTCGGAGCAAGGACGTCGGGGCCCGGAGGGGATAAAGGCCACCTGGCAGAGCGGAGCTCAAGCCCAGGTCTCTGGGGCCGTGTCCTCCCATCAGTGGAAGGGGAACCCGGAGAGTCCTGATGCTGCAGAGTAGCAGGCTGAGGACTGCTCCCCACCCCCACTGCCGCATCACTCAGCCTTGGGGTAAGTGGGCCAGGGGCCCCGCCGCTCCCTCACTTGCCCCTCCCGCCCCCAACAGTGCACCTGTGGCGATTCTCGGGGGGCTACCCAGCCCTCATGGACTGCATGAACAAGCTCAAGAACAACAAGGTAAGGCAGCGTCCCCTTGCAGACCTCTCTTGGAACTTGGGGCTCCTCCGCCCACAGCGGGGTGGAGGGTGCTGCCTGGCCGCCGTGCCCATGCCGCTGTGCCCGCAGGAGTACCTGGAGTTCCGGAAGGAGCGGAGCCAGATGCTGCTGTCCAGGAGAAACCAGCTGCTCCTGGAGTTCAGCTTCTGGAACGAGCCGCAGCCCAGAGAGGGCCCCAACATCTATGAGCTGCGGACGTACAAGCTCAAGGTGCCTCCCTCCCCGCAGATCCCTCCCGACTCCCACCTTCCCTGCTGCAGTGTCGCTTTGTAGGTGCCCCGAGGTGGGTCCCGGCCTCTCCCACCATGGGCTCTGCTGGCAATAGTGTGTGCACACGCAAGCCCACACACACACACCAGCTGTAGGCTGAATCCGTGACTGTGGCCCCGTGTTCCCCTGGAGCTGGGGACACAGGAAAATTCCCCCCCCCCCCGCCCCACTATGATGCTGGGAATCCAAGGCGGGAGCTCATTCTCGTATCCCCTCTGGCTCTCTTCCAGCCGGGAACCATGATCGAGTGGGGGAACAACTGGTGAGTGGCAGCCCAGGGCCTGGGGTGGGGGACTGCTACTCAGGGGCTCTCCCGAGGTGCTGTTTCAGGGAGCCCAGCCCCCCGCTCTCCCTCATGGACCCAGGAGAAAGCTGTACACAGGAAGCGATGACCCCTGTGGGGCGGGGGTGGGGAGGGGCCGGCCCACAGGCTATGCAGGACCCATAGGATCATCTGGTCTGGCCCGGACGAGGCAGCCGCAGCTGGGAGGAGACAGTAAGTCTAGCAGGCTGGTGTGTAAGTTGATCAGTTTCTATGGCCCACGAGTGATGTTAGAAGTAGCCATGTGGCCCTTGGCAGGAAAAGGTTACGTGCCCCGGGCAGGAGGATTGTGAGGCTGGTTTCCGTAGAGCACCCAGCCTTGTGGCTGCACCTCCGTCACCCTGTCGCTCCGTGATCCCTCAGGGCCATGGGCCCCACCTCTACCCCTCCTGTGAGGCCTGCGTCCACCTCTGGGGGCCTCCTGCATGGCCCTGGCCTCCGGCCCACGCTTCTCTGCCCTCTCCAGGGCTCGGGCCATCAAGTACCGGCAGGAGAACCAGGAGGCGGTGGGCGGCTTCTTCTCGCAGATTGGGGAGCTCTACGTTGTGCACCATCTCTGGGGTAGGTTGGGGGCCTTCCAGGAGCCTTCCCTGTCGTTCTCCCTAAACAGAGGGGGCGGGGGCGTGGCCCCACGGGCCTCACATTCCAGCAGAGGGAGACACTGCCTGCTAACGAAAGAGACTGAAGATTGACTTCAGATTATTACAAATAATATTTGCGGCAAAGAGGGAGGGATGGTAGGAGCCTGGGGGAAAGGCATTCCCAGTGTGTGTGTGTTGGGGCAGCATGTGCAAGGGCCCTGTGGTGGGAAGGGCATGCAGCATTTTGAGGAGTGGCGAGGAAGGTGGCAGGGTTCGGATCAGGCCGGGCCTCACGGGCCTGGGATTCTTTGTGAATGGGATAGGAGGCTGCAGCAGCAGCAGCGTGACCTCACGATGTTCTGATGCGACTCTGTGATTGACCCAGAGTGCCTGGTAAGGGAGCAGGGGGAAGCAGGGCCTCAGCAGATGGTTGAGCGGGTCAGGCGGAGAGGGCGGGGCCTGGCCGACGCTCGCAGGAGTGGCCTGTCTGGAGATGGACTAGTCCAGGGTAAACCAGAGCGACTGCAGGGGGAGTTGTCCTTTGGGCAGTGGAGGGGGGAGAGGTTCCGGAATGCTCCCAAGCTCCTGCTTGAGCAGTTGTGTGCCGCTCACTGAGACCGAGACTCCCGTGGGAGGAGTGGGAGTGTAACTTTGGCCCTCGGAAGCGTTACACTTGAGTTGCTGTCACACTGAAGTGGAGATGTCTTGGGGCGCTGGCTGTACAGGACAGTCTTAGGCTGGAAATACAGATTTAGGGGTTGTCAGAACAGCTACACTCCTCAAGACCCCAAAGGCCTTTCCCTGCCGCAGGGCCTTTGATATGCCTTTCCCCAACAATTCACGGCTGGCTCCTCCTCATCTTCAGTCTCTGAGCTTACACTTCACCTGCTCGGAGACACCTGCTGTGTGTACCGAAGCCAGTGTGCGTTCTCAGCATTTTCTCTACCATCTCTCCCTGCTTCTTTTCTATATATATGATTTGTAATAATCTGACAGTAATCTTTTTTTTAAGATTTATTTATTTATTTATCTGAAAGGCAGAGTTGGAGAGAGAGAGAGGGAGAGACAGAGAGAGAGGTCTTCCATTTGCCACTTCACTCCCTAAATGGCTGCAATGCCAGACTGAAGCCAGAGCCTGGAACTCCATCCGGGTCTCCCACGTGGGTGAGGGCTCAAGCACTTGGGCCGTCCTCCACTGCTTTGCCAGACACAGCAGCAGGGAACTTGATCGGAAGTGGAGCAGCCGGGACTTGAATCGGTGCTCATGTGGGATGCTGGGGTTGCAGGGGATGGCCCAGCCCGCCATCCCATAACCTGGGCCCCAGTAATTTGGTTGCACAGCTGATGGGATGAGGCTGACAATGCAGGCAGGGTTTTCAGCAGCCTGAGGGGGGCATCTGAACTGGAAGAGTCAGCAGGGCAGTGGAGTGAGGGCCTCGTGTCGGGGAAGGGACGCGATCTCTGTGTCTGAGGAGTCAGCCAGGGCCTTTCCCACAGCCTATAAAGACCTGCAGTCTCGGGAGGAGACTCGGAACGCCGCCTGGAGGAAGAGGGGCTGGGACGAAAATGTTTACTATACAGGTGAGTGCCGCCTCTGGGGGTCGGCGGGCCCTTGGAAGTCACCTGCCGGAGGCTTGCTGAGGATGGAGTCCCCCCCCCCCCGCCAGCCGCGACACGGGATGCCAGCATCGTGGGCGGCAGCTTTACACCCTTTATGCCACGACGCCAGCCTCACCCCGTAATTTGGGAAGCCTGGTGCCCTTCACGGGCCCTTCCAGGAGGTGCTGGGGTTCGGCCGTCTCCGCCTCCAGGGCCGGCTGCATCAGCGTGCGGGGTGGGCCCCTGCCTCAGCCCTGACCTCTGCCTGTCTCTGCAGTGCCGCTGGTGCGACACATGGAGTCTCGGATCATGATCCCCTTGAAGATTTCGCCTCTCCAGTGATGCGGCCGACGCCTCTGTCTCCTTCCCCTTCTCCCTCGGGGCAGTCCAGGATAGAGGGTCTGCTGGCCTGTCTGGGTTCTCTCCCAGATCTGGGGGTGGGGCTGAGCTCAGACCCGGGGAGCTGAAGGGTTATGGGGTCCTGAGGACTCCCGCTCTGCCCAGAGTCTCTCCCACCCACCGGCTTCCCCGGCCAGTAGTTCCTCATCTCCCTGAACGCAGATCAGAACCTCTCATGTCTTCACACATTCCCTTGGGATCCCTCACCTCACAGCTGTCCGTCCCCAGTTAGCATCTCAGTAAACCTTGGCTTAGCTTAGTTGCGCAAAAGGGAGTGCGACCAATGGTTCGAAGTGGGGTGGGAAGGGAGGAGGCCAGGCCAGGCCACACCCTCAGGACTCCCTAGTCTCCACTGGACCACCCACTTGCTGCACAGTCTGAGCCAAATCCCTCATGCTGTGGAAAAGTCTGGAACTGCCAAAACCCTCAGATCAGCACCCAGAGAGGCAGAGCGATGGCACGGGAGAGGAAGGACGTGGGGGCGGGAGCCAGCCCCAGAAGCTGGAACGTAGAGTTCTGACCCTGGTTCTTGAGCCACAAAATTGGGAAGACAGGTCGGAGGGGACAGAAGACCGTTGGGGGAGGGGCTCGTGAGTACTAGACGGATGGAGAGAGGCTCACCTGTCCCTTCCTGCAGGCTCAAGCACAGGCCAGGGCCCCCTAGTTTCCTCCCCCTCACGCGACAGCTGCCAGCCCAGCCCTCATAGGGACACCGGCGTGGAGTTGGGTAGCGACCCTGGGAGCTTCCTCTGTGACCCCCATACCTCGTGAACCCCCCGGGAACTTGATCTGCCTCCTGTCCATGAAAACAAGTACTGGGGTGGCTGAAGGAACCAATTAAATATTTACTATAAGTCACCGTGTCTGTTCTTCATCTGCAAGGAACTTGAGCGGATGCCCGAGGCTGGGCAGAGCAGAGCGGGGCTGGGCAGAGCAGAGCGGGGCTGGCCAGCTTCCCTGTCCCACATGGCTGATGTCCCCAGCCCTGGAGGACGGTGCGTCCCGAGCTAGGCTCAGGGAGGCATCTTCAGCCTCGCCCCAGGGCAGGAGAAGGAACTGTCCCTGTACAAACACCGACTTGACACAGGTGTTTCTAGCTCCGGTTGAGGACCTGCACCAAAAATCCTGGGCCCTGCTGCACAGTTCATGCCAAGTGTAGGAAACACTCGATGCTTTCAAATACTGCCTTCGAGTTGTGATACTGTCCCGGTCAAATCGGGCCTAAAATGGAGAATCTGGTGATGTGACATGTTACGGTGAACACAACGGTGGTTACAAAGCCAGGTTATGGAGTCGAATTCACCAGGGTCCAAGTGTTGGCGCTACCAGCTCTTGCGTTATCGTGGGCATGCGGCAACCCCTTCATTCTACGACTGGGCAGAGCGCTCGCTCGTTGCTAGGCACTGCTGTAGCACCTGGGAAAGTGAACGAGACGTATGAGTCTTTGTCCTTACGGTCTCGGTTTCCCTGTGTTCGAGAGCAGCCGGGGGTGGCTGGCCGGCTAGAGCACCCACAGCTTAGTCGCTCGCCACGATGTCGCCCCCGGCGCAGCACATCCACGGCCATCCGGGAACTTGGCGTTTCGCTTCCGGCCTCCGCGCCCGCCTTCCGGAAGGCCGCTCCTTCCCTTCTTCCGGTTCTCTATGGTGCAAGGAACGTCATCACCTAGGCGCCGGAAGTGGCTCGTTTCCAGAGACAGGTTTGCGGAGCTGTTCGGTGAGGAGGGGACCTGGGTGGCGACCTGGGCGGCGGGCAGGGCCGGGCGTTCTGGGACTGAGGTGCGGACTGCCCGAAAGGTGCCCCTGGGCGGCGGGCTTTTTTTGACCTTGCTCTCCGGGTAGGCGCCGTGGGGCGCTGTTTGCTCATCTGGAAAATGCTCGCGGCCGCATCCTCGGGGTCTGGGTTGTAGCCGCTTGGTGATGAGGGACGTGTGGAGCCTGATGGGGATGGTGGCGGTGCTGGTGCTAAGAGTGCACATTGGCCACGCGCGTCCGCGTGCCGGACAGCCTCCTGCTTTGCCAGAGCCAGGATTTACCGCATTTTCAGTATTTGGGGTCGCACTTTTGTGGCTTTGTCGAATCACTAATTATTGTTTACTGTCACTTTAGCATTTTAAAATATTTGTTTATTTGAAAGAGAGAGAATGAAGGGAAGGGAATAAAACCCCCCACCTGCCACTTAGCTCCCCAAATGCCCTCGGCAGCTGGGGTTGGGCCTGCGTGGGTGGCAGGGCCGGAGCTGCCGTTACCTGCTGCTTCCCGGGCTGTGCGTGAACAGGAACCTGGGCTCGGATGGACTCGAGACTCCAGCCTGGGCATGTGGTGTCCAAGCTGCGTTCTAGCCATTGTACCAAATCCTCCGCCCCAATCTAGGCACCTTTCTTTCTTTCTTTTTCAATTTAAACTGACTCGAGAGAAAACGTTTAAGTCTCCACAATAAACGGAAAACCGTTTTCACTTTTTTTATGCAGATGGTAGTGATGAAAATGACAGTAATAAATATAGCGGGGAGGTGTGATTGTTAATGATCTTTGGCCAGGTTTCATTGTCTAAGGCTCCGAGACCGTCCTTTTGTTGCGTTCATAGCTGTGGACAAGCTAGGGAGCCGATGTTTTCTTGGAAGTAAACAGAAGTTTCAAAAAGGAACTGGAAAGGGATGAACTCCCGTGCTTGGTGTGCAGCAGGGGTGGCAGGGGTCCAGTACTTAAGGCCGACCTCCACCGCCTTCCCAGGCACACCACACATCAGCAAGGACTCAAACCCGGGCTCTGCTGTGATGTGGGGTGCTGGCATTGCAGGCAGCAGCTTAGCTCACTGTGCCGTCATGCTGGCCCCTAGGTGTTCAGCGTTATCTAAGGTCACTCATGTACCATTTATTTTTTTAGACAGATTTGTTTATTGTAGAGGCAGAATTACAGAGAGGGAGAGAGAGACAGAGAGAGAGGTCTTCTGTTCGCTGGTTCACTCCCCAAATGGCCGCCCGCAATGGCTGGAGCTGGGCTGATCTGAAGCCAGGAGCCAGGAGCTTTTTCTGGGTCTCCCACATGGGTGCAGGGAACCAAGCACTTGGGCCACCTTCTACTGCTTTCCCAGGCCATAGCAGAGAGCTGGATAGGGAGAGGAGCGGTTGGGACCTGAATGCCCATATGGGAAGCCAGCACCGCAGGTAGAGTCTCTACTACTGTGCCACAGCGCCGGCCCCTCATGGACCATTTAAAGCCCCAAGTTTTTTTCTTTGCTCCCTCTTCCCCCTTAAGAGGTGGTTTGATTAATTGATTTGAAAGGCACACTGACAGAGAGGGACAGAGAAACTGTCCATCACTGGTTCACTTTCCAAATGCCCACGACAGCTGGTCCAGGTCAGGCCTAAGCCAGAAGCGCCATCTGGGTCTCCCATGTGGTAGCAGGAACCCAAGTCCTTGGACCATCACCAGATGCCCTTTCCCCGTTCCCCAGAGGAGCTCCCGTGTTCATGCCCACAGCAACCCCTGAGGCAGGGGCTGTTGCTCTCGTTGATTTTGTGAGGATGTAGACCAGAGGAAAGGGAAGCGACTTGTTCCAAGACTCATAGCCATGATATCGTAGGGAGTCCCACTCAGGTTGGGATTCCGCCATGACACGCTGTTGGCTCTCAGTGTTACAGATCAGGAGCTGTGCTGCCTGCCTCAGGAGAGACTGGGGATGACCATGAGGGGTGGTGACTGCTGAGCCCCGTGGAACATAGCTTCTGATCTTTGTAAATTTTAGGGTCAACCAGAATATTTATGACACCGTCATAGGATATGCTGGCAGGACGAGGAGGCTTGAGGATGTAGCTGTCTAGAGCCCCGGTGTAGCTGCAGATGGACCCAAGCTTCAGCATATTAGCATGGTGACTAGGCAAGTCATTTCCCTTCCGAGCCTCCACTTTCTCATCTGGGACACAAGTAACAATTCCCATCTGAAAAGTTAGGAAGATCGAATGTGAACACACCCATGAAGTGCCTAGGTGAAGGCCCACCACGCTGTGACCTGTTGGTTGTGTTGGGAATAAGCTTATTACGTGCCAGACTAAGGAGCTACCAATTTATGGAGCGTTTCGCCAGGCACATGGGGAAGAAAGTCAGAGAGAGAAATCCTCTAATAGTGTATCCCAAATACCCAAGGGAGGGCCTTGGGGAGCCCTGAGAGGCTTCCTGGAGCAATCAGTGAGCATTTCTTAGTCTTCAGGCGCACAGAGAGAAGGAGGAAGATCTCTGCAAGATTGTGTGGCGTGTTCTGGGACCCAGGGTGCTAAGTGCAGTTGCAGCCAGGACTCAGGTTGGTGGGTGGCAGAGGAGGCTTCCTAAGAACAGGAATGCAAGGAATGCAGTTGGGCAAGTGGGCTGTGGACAAACCAAGGCCAGCAGATGTCCACCGTGGTGCACCATGAAGAGCCAGAAAAGGTTTCGAAATAGGAGAGGCATTAATTAGGCTTTTTTTTTTTTAAAGATTTATTTATTAATTTGAAAGGCAGAGTTAGAGAAAGAGAGATCTTCATCTGCTGGTTCATTCCCCAAATGGCTGCAACAGCTGGAGCTGGGCCAATCCGAAGCCAGGAGCTTGGAGCTTCTTCTGGGTCTCCCATGTGGGTGCAGGGTCCCAAGGACTTGGGCCATCTTCTGCTTTCCCAGGCCATAGCAGAAAGCTAGATCAGAAGTGGAGCAGCCGGGACTCGAACCGGTGCCCATACAGGATGCTGGCACTGCAGGCAGTGGCTTTACCTGCTACGTCACAGTGCCAGCCCCAGGTAAGCCCTTTTTAAGAAACAGAATTTAGACGGCATTGCTGGGCAGGGCTGTCACTGTTGTCCTGGAGAGGAGTACAGAGGGCCTGGCTTAGGGTGTTGAGAGGGAGAGATGCATGGCACGGGTCAGCCGCTGAGTGCAGGATGTGCACGGAGCGGGGAAGGGAGAGGTTGAAGATGATCCCAGGGTCAGTGCGGTGGTGCTGATGCCTGTGTCGAAGAGGAGGTGGAGCGAGAGCAGACTCCCTGCAGGATTCAGAGGATTACGTAACCTTTGGAGGGATCAGTGACTTCGTGAGTTAGCAGATCTGTAAGGGGCCACGATGATGAGTTAGACTTCAGTATTCTGACTCCAGAGAAATCTCAGAAAAGTTCTCCTCTTCACAGCTCTCTGCCATTTCCTCCTGACCTCGAGGAACAGCCATGTCATCAGAATCAAGTAAGAAACGGAAACCCAAAGTCATCCGAAGCGACGGATCCCAAACTGAAGGGAAGCGGAACCGCTCAGACACCGAGCAGGTGCGATGGGCCGGGGTTGCCATGGTGTTGAGAAGCTGCAGCTCCTGGCCAGACACTTATTTAGCTCAGGGTCGCGTCTACCAGGGACAGCCTCTCAGTGGACTCCACTTGCCCAGTGACTAAAGTTCCCTCGGCCGCAAAGAACCTGAATGTCCCCATCAAGTTTAGCTGTAACAGCGTGGGAACTAGCAGCTTCCGTTAGCACTGTGAGGGCCTGCACAGAGAACGCATCCCGGGGAGCCGTGTGTCTCTCACTTTCCTGACGGCCAGAGGAAGGCCGTCCACCTGCGGCACGGCACTGAGCTTCCGAGATGTCGTGTTCTTGGGTGAGCCCTGTGCCGCACAGCCTTAGCTGTGACTGCCAGTGCCTGTCTTCAGCAGGTTCTTCTCTTCCTTCTGTTTGTTTCTGTGTCCTTGAATCTGTTAAACCAACTGATAGCTTAGTGGTTTTGTTTTGAAAAACTAGAATAGAGAAACATCAGCTTTAATTTATCTATTTTAATTTTTCAAAGATTTATTTATTTATTTGAAAGGCAGAGTTACACACAGAGAGAAGGAAAGACAGAGAGAGAGAGAGAGGTCTTCAATTCGCTGGTTCACTCCCCAATTGGCCGCAACGGCTGGAGCTGTGCCGATCTGAAGCCAGGAGCTTCTTCCGGGTCTTCCCATGTAGTTGCAGGGGACTTGGGCCATCTTCCGCTGCTTTCCCCGGCCATAGTAGAGAGCTGGATCGAAAGTGGAGCAGCCCGGACTTGAACTGGCATCCATGTGGGATGCCAGTACTTCAGGTGGTGGCTTTACCCACTATGCCACAGCGCTGGCCCCCATACTTTAAATTTTTTAAAAGATTTATTTTTACTTATTTGAAAGGTGGAATGACAGAGAAATCTTGCATCTGCTAGTTCATTCTCCAAATGGCTGCAATGGCCAGGGCTGGGGCAGGCCAAAGCCAGGAGCCTGGACCTCCATCGGTCTCTGACATAGGTGGCAGGGGCCCAGGTATTTGAACCATCTTTTCTCCTTTCCCAAGTACATTAGCTGGGTTGGAAGTGGAGGAGCTGGGACTTGAACTGGAGCTCTGATATGAGATGCTGGTATTACAGGTGGTAGCTTAACTTGCTTGGCCACAACGCCAACCCCCCAGTTTGTATTTAAATAACAAAATGATACCTTCCTCAAATTTAGGAAACCAAGATCATTGAAGAGCCTTTCTTTTTGGGGCATTGATTATGGCTCTTCCATGAACTAATGTGTTCTGTTTAATGCAAAGGCTAGGAGACCAGAGACCAATTACGATATATTAGTCTTTGTTAAAGTTTGATTAGGCAAACTAAATGCCCATCAACAGGGATTTGGTAAAGTGAATTCTGGTTAATTGCTGTAGTGGACTGTCATGCAGTTTTGTTTTTTTAATGTTTATTTGTTCTTTTTTTTTTTTTTTTTTTTTTTTTTTTTTTATCTGTTTGGTAGAGTGACAGAGAGTGATAGATCTGTAGTCTGCTGGTTCATTTCCAAAAGCTCACGATAGCCAAGCTAAAGTCATGCGCCTGGATTTCCAGCTGGTTCTGCCACCTGGGTGGTGGGACCTCAGTCACATGAGCCCTTATTACTGTCCCTCAGGGACCACATTAGCAGGAGATTGGAACCAGGAGCCCAAGTTGGGCATTGAACTCAGGCACTCCAGTGTGAGGCATCTGTGTCTGACCTGACAGGCTAAACACCTACTGTTCATTTCCTTCTTGGTTGTTCTCTCTGCGTCCTTGACACGAAATGTGTGTTGCTCTGTAATCAGAAGGAGAGCAAGGGTTCTGTTTTGAAAAGAAGAAAAGCAGTTGCTTTGAAGAACAGATCCTCCAGCGACCTGACCTGGGCTTCATTGTTACTGTTATGTAAGCAGAGACCTCAGGCAGGTGTCCCTGGCCCAGCAGGGAGAATTTCAGCCCCCATCTGCAGCCTGTCTGCTTGCCTCCACAGGAAGGAAAATACTACAGCGAGGAGGCGGAGGTGGACCTGCGGGACCCTGGCAGAGACTATGAGCTGTACAAGTACACATGCCAGGAGCTGCAGAGGCTTATGGCTGAGATCCAGGACCTGAAGAGCAGGGGCGGCAAGGAAGTGGTGAGCAGGGGGACCAGGCAGCCGCGGGCCGTGGTTCTGCGTGGGTGCTGCTATGATTGCTCTCCCAGGGCCCTGCCTGGGCTTGGTCTGTCCTGGACATGGTACGGTGTTTGGAGCCTGGGGCTCTGGAGAACTGGCTATAAATTTCCTGGAATTTCTCATTCTACCCCATTACCAATGGTAGTAATGAAGGTACAGGCCGGCGCCGCAGCTCACTAGGCTAATCCTCCACCTGCGGCGCCGGCACACCGGGTTCTAGTCCCGGTCGGGGCGCCGGATTCTGTCCCGGTTGCCCCTCTTCCAGGCCAGCTCTCTGCTGTGGCCCGGGAGTGCAGTGGAGGATGGCCCAAGTGCTTGGGCCCTGCACCCGCATGGGAGACCTTTCTCTCTGTCTCTCTCTCTCTCACTGTCTACTATGCCTGTCAAAAAAAATTTTTTTTTAAAAATTAAAAATTAAAAGTAATGAAGGTACAGGAGAATTAGTTTTTTCCATAACTGATTTGATCATTTATCCAATTTTTGTTCAGCACCATTTTGCTAGGTGCTGAGAAGTAATGGCACTGATACATTCTCTTGGTGTGATAAAGATGGACTATAAAGGTAAATCAGAGAAAGCTTTCAAAATCATCATTATTGAAAGAATAAACCAGGCTTTGGGGGCAGAAAAACTAAGCAGTGTGACCACATGGATGCATTTTTTAAAAATCCATTTTTTCCCCCAGGAATCTTTTTTTTTTTTGGCAGGCAGAGTGGACAGTGAAAGAGAGAGACAGAGAGAAAGGTCTTCCTTTGCCGTTGGTTCACCCTCCAATGGCCACCACGCACAGCCGGCGCACAGCACTGATCCGAAGGCAGGAGCCAGGTACTTATCCTGGTCTCCCATGGGGTGCAGGGCCCAAGCACTTGGGCCATCCTCCACTGCACTCCCTGGCCACAGCAGAGAGCTGGCCTGGAAGAGGGGCAACCGGGACAGAATCCGACGCCCCGACCGGGACTAGAACCCGGTGTGCTGGCGCCACAGGTGGAGGATTAGCCTAGTGAGCCGCGGCGCCGGCCTCCCCCAGGAATCTTACTTGTGCTTAATGCTGGCTGATGTTAAGAATATTACATTCTTTTTTTTTTTTTTTTTTTAAGATTGATTTACTTGAGTGGTGGAGTTACACCTCAAATAAAGGGAGGGGGAGAGAGAGAGAGAGAGAGGTCTTCCATCTGCTAGTTCGCTCCCCAAATGGCCACAGTGGCCAGAGCTGGGCTGATCTGAAGCCAGGAGCTTCTTCTGGGTCTCCCACACGGGTGCAGGGGCCCAAGCACTTAGGCCATCTTTTACTGCTTTCCCAGGCCATTAGCAGGGATCTGGATCAGAAGTGGAATAGCCGGGACTCAAACCCATGCCCATATGGGATGCTGGCACTGTAGGAGGAGGCCTAACGTACTACATCACAGTGCCAGAACCCCATTTGTTGTATTATAGCCAAGCTTTTCATCTGTGATTCTGTTATGTATATTTAAATTATTCTGTAATATTGTTTGTAGAAGATTTTATGACAAGATGTTGCTGTAGTTAGGATGCCTTTTTTAGGAGCTATCAGAAGAGATGTTAAATGTGTGTTAGCTGCACCTTGTCTGCCATGACTGTTTTTCCAGTCCAAGCAGAAATTGCATTTTGCCTGGGAACCATAAGTATCTTACGCAGTCACCTTTCTGGTTCCCTTCTGAGGTCTCTCATGGCTGTGAGCTCCCTCCAGTGTCTGTTTTGGCCCTGGTGCCGATGAGTCGGCAGCACAGGACTGAAGGGAATGAGCCAGTACCTGTTGCTAGTGGTCTACACCATTTTCTTTGCCCACAGGCAGTTGAAATTGAAGAACGGAGGATCAAGAGCTGTGTGCATTTCATGACGCTAAAGAAGCTTAACCGATTAGCCCACATCAGGTTGAAGAAAGGAAGAGACCAGACCCACGAGGTAGGACTTGAGAGGTTTAACTCACTCTCTTCCTCCTTAGCACCTCCTCTCACCTTGCTGATGCTGAGCCCCACCTGGACTTGCCCTGCTCACCTCTGACCTTGTCCTTTTCAGGCTAAGCAGAAAGTAGACGCCTATCACCTGCAGCTACAGAACCTGTTGTATGAGGTGATGCACCTGCAGAAGGAGATCACCAAGTGTCTGGAGTTTAAGTGAGTGTGGGAGGCCAGGGCTTTGGCACAGATGGTCTTGGTAACTGCTTTCTCCTTACCGTTCAGTTTGAGTCTGTCTCCATTTTCTGTTCTTTTTTAATTTATTTGAGAAACAGATAGGGAGAGACAGACACACAGAGAGTGCTCCTATCTGCTGGTTCTTCCCCAAGTGCCTGCGGTAGGTTGAGCTGGGCTGAAGCTGTGAGCCAAGAACTTAGTCCAGGTCTTTTAAATGAGTGGCAGGGACCCAGCCACCTGAACCATGGCCTGCTGCTTCCCAGGGTCCACACCAACAGGAAGCTGGAATCAAGAGCAGAGAATCAAACCCACGCACTCCGATTTGGCATGCAGGCATCTTAATCGCTAGGTCAAACGCCCATCCCAAGTCTGTTTCTTTAAAAGAAATCTGGTGAGCATGCAAGACTGTAGCATCTGGGAAAAGGTAAATAGATGACTTTGGGAGAATTGCAAAGGGTAGTTTCAGGCTGCAAAGAACCTCAGAAGCCTCTCGGATCCTTTTGAGTTTTGAACTCTGCAGTTGGTGAAGAACAGTCCTTTCTCCCCAGCAAGGGTCTTTGCATTACCAGTTTGATTCCTGGCCACATTGTATGGGAGCAGTTCATCACTAGTCACATCTTTGAACTTGTGGCCTGGTTTTCAAAAGACGCAGCAGTTTGTGTTTGCAAATGTGTTTATTCATTGGAACATGAACGTGTGCTGCTGAGTTCCTTTGGATAAACAAACTGGTTGTCAGAGCCCTTATTAAAATGAGCCACCTCTTGGCAAAACCAAGCTGAGATGAGACAGAGGAAGGAGCTAACGGGAAGAGAAGAGAGGAAGAGAGGGAAGGGGAGGGAAAGGGAAGAGAAGGAGTTTTTGTTTGATCAGAATGGTTTGTGCAAACTGAAAGCAGGCAGATTTTATTTGTAGCAAACTTGGCATGAGCCAGACTACATTACACACCTGGTCCAGCATTTTTGGTTTGTTATTTTTTTCCTTAAGATTTATTTATTTGAGAAGCAAAGTTACAGACTGAGAGGTCTTCCATCGCTGGTTCACTCCGCAAATGGCCGCAACGGCTGGAGCTGAGCCAGTCTGAAGCCAGGAGCCAAGAGTTTTTTCAAGGTCTCCCATGCGGGTGCAGGGGTCCAAACACTTGGACCATCTTCTGCTGCTTTCCCAGACTGTAGCAGAGAGCTGGATTGGAAGTGAAGCAGCCAAGATTTGAACTGGTGCCCAGATGGAGTGTTGGCGCCATAGGAGGAGGCTTAACCTACTGTGCTACAGCGCTGGCCCTAGGTTTTTTTTTTTTTTTTTTTTTTTTTTTTTTTTTTACAGAGTGGACAGTGAGAGAGAGAGACAGAGAGAAAGGTCTTCCTTTTGCCGTTGGTTCACCCTCCAATGGCCGCCGCGGCCAGCACACTGCGGCCGGCGCACCGCGCTGATCCGATGGCAGGAGCCAGGTGCTTCTCCTGGTCTCCCATGGGGTGCAGGGCCCAAGCACTTGGGCCATCCTCCACTGCATTCCCTGGCCACAGCAGAGAGCTGGCCTGGAAGAGGGGCAACCGGGACAGAATCTGGCGCCCCGACCGTGACTAGAACCTGGTGTGCCGGCGCCGCAAGGCGGAGGATTAGCCTAGTGAGTCGCGGCGCCGGCCCCCTAGTTTGTTATTTTAAAAAAATTTATTTCATCTGAAAGTCAGAGAGACAGAGATCTTTCACCTACTGGTTCGCTCTCCAAATGTCTGCAATAACCAGGGCTGGGCCAAGGCAGGAATTCAGTCTGTGTTTCCCACATGGCTGGCAGGGACCCAGCTATTTAAGCCATCACTTATGCTTCCAGGTCTGCATTAGCAGGAAAGTGGAATGGAGAAGAGAGCCAGGTCGAACCCAGGCCTCTGATAGGGGATGCTGGTGTCCCAGGTGACATCTTAACTACTGCACCAAGCACCCTACCGGTATTTACAGTAATGATGGTGATGGTGCTTTTATTTATTTATTTAAAAGAGTTCTTGAGAGAGATAGAGACCAAGAGAGGTCTAGAGAGGTCAAGAGGTCTCCCAGCCACTGATTCACTCCCCAGATGGCCACAATGGCTGGAGCTAAGCCAGTCGAAGCCAAGAACCAGGAGCTTCCTCTGGGTCTCCCATGAGGGAACAGGGGCCCAGTACTTGGGCCATCCTCCACTGCTTTTCCAGGCACATTAGCAGGGAGCTGGATAGGAAGTGGTGCAGCCAGGACTCAAACCGGCACCCATGTGGAATGCCAGCATTGTAGGCTGGGGCTTTAACCCACTGCGCCACAGCACCAGCCCCATGGTGTGGATTTTTGAGAGGCTTCTTTATCTGCTTCACAAATACATCCCAGAATATTATTTATTTAAACACTAATTAAAATTCTCATCAGATCTGTGCCTGAGGTAATGATATTGTACCAGTGTCAGTTTCCTGATTTTGATAGCATACTATGGTTAGCTAAGATACTATTGTGGGAGGAACCTGAATAAAGATGGAGGAAGTAAACTTCTCATGAGTCAAGTTTAGAAAGGTATAAAAATAGAAGAACATGGTACCCTGGACTGTGATTGTTGCCCAGTGGAAGCTGATTACCCCAGAGTAAGGAGGAAATGTGACCGTGTGGAAGGAGCATGGGCCCTGGAGTCAAGGGGCCTGGGTTCAGATCCCAGCTCAGCTGTGTGACCTTCACTGAGGGGCTTACTGACCCTCTTGTATAATGGAGCTCACAATCCCCATTTCCTAGAAATGCGAGAATTAAATGAGGTGAGGGAAGCATATAGTGGGCATCTGTTAATACACTTGGGCTTCTGTATGCATAAAATATTCAGGAAAAAACGTGACTACAATGAACATGTACAGACTTTGTCTTTATTCCCTAAACAGTACAGGATGACAACTATCTGTGTAGCGTTTCCATGATCTTAGGTGAGAGAAGTAAACGAGATGATTTAGAGCACAGGGGAGGATGGGCCTAACTCATGGCAGTTAGTGCACATTTTATATCAGGGACTTGCACATGGTTGGATTTTGGTGTTGGCAGAGGTCCTGGAATCAGTCCCCTCTGATACCGAGGGATGACTGGCAGCTGCTGTTACTGCCATCACGTGACCATGACCTGGGCACTTGACTGTTAAGGCAGCTGAGAGTATTGGGTTTCTTTTCTTTTTTTTAAAAAAAGATTTATTTATTTGAAAGAGTTACAGAGAGAGATAGAAACAGAGAGAGAGAGGTCTCCATCCACTGGATGGCCACAATGGCTGGAGCTGCACCCATCTGAAGCCAGGAGCCAGGAGCTTCTTCCAGTTCTCCCACCTGGGTGAAGGGGCCCAAGGACTTGGGCCATTTTCTACTGCTTTCCCAGGCCATAGCAGAGAGCTGGATTGGAAGAGGAGCAGCCAGGACTAGACCCAGTGCCCATATGGGATGCCGGCGCTTCAGGCAAGGGCTTTAACCCACTGCGCACAGTGTGGGCCCCGAGTTTCTTTTCTTTTATACATGGATGTCATCATGCCTGCAACAGTTACAGCCCTAGATTGTACTCATAACTGGTTCCACTCTGCTGGATCTTCTCATTTTATGTTTATGCAGGTAATGTTTTGAACTTAAGCGCAGACCTTGTATTTGTTCCTGTTAAATGACATGTCTTGGTTTCAACCTGACAGTCTATATGCTGCTAGCTCTCCTGCTCAACTTGGAGAAACTTGTCAGTTTGCTAAGCATCCCTTCCTGTTCACTGGCTAACTCATGTGACATGTCCCCAACCACCTCTCTTTGTCTACTGATGAGTGTTAGTGCAAAGACTGGATTCCGGGATCTTGCGTAATTTTAGACTAAGGCTGAGTGGGCATAGCTGGGAGCCTTGCACCTGCTTAAGCTACCGTTTGGGTTTCTAGAAACAGCAACTTGATGTCTGGTTTTTGCCTGTAGGTCAAAGCATGAAGAAATTGATCTGGTCAGTTTGGAAGAGTTTTATAAGGAGGCTCCGCCAGATATCAGCAAGGCTGACGTCACCATGGGAGACCCTCACCAGCAGACTCTGGCGCGTCTGGACTGGGAGCTGGAGCAGCGGAAGAGGTAGTGGTTCCTCCTTCCTGACTTTGTTAACTATGGAACAGAGTGCTTTGTCCTGACCCGGCGTCAGACCCCACGGCACCGTGGATCCAGCACCAAACCCCTTCTTGTGATTAATTCACATAGGATGGTTGGAGCTTGACCAAGACCAACCTCATTCTGTGTGGGGCTGTAATTGCTTAAGGCTGTTAACAGAAAAGTAGAGTAACTTTTCTTCCCTTAAAAATGGCAATACCCAAGACCTAAATATCTCTTAAGTCACAAATCTGATTTTGTATTTTTCCTTTTCCCCTGTTTGTAAGTGTACCCCTGTGGTATCCTAAAGCCTTGAAATCATTATTCAAGAAAGTTATACATCCTTCCAATGCCTGTAAACATAGTAATTCACAAAATCATTCCCTTCTTGGGCTTTTATGTTATTTCCATTATTCACTGTCATGATAAGTGAGTGCTCTTTGCATATAAAACTTTTATTTTTAAAAAAATTTTTAAAGATTTATTCATTTTATTTGAAGGAGCTAGAGAGAGGGGCTGGTGCTGTGGCTTAGTGGGTAAAGCCACTGCCTGCAGTGCTGGCATCTCGTATGGGCACCAGTTTGATACCTGGCTGCTCCATTTCTGATCCAGCCCTCTGCTATGGCCTGGGAAAGCAGTACAGGAGGGCCCAAGTGCTTGGGATCCTGCATCCACATGGGAGACCCAGAAGAAACTCCTGGCTTTGGATCAGCCCAGCTCCAGCCATTGTAGCCATTTGGGGTGTGGACCAGTGAATGGAAGATCTCTCTCTCTTCTGCCTCTACCTTTGCCCCTCCCTCTTTGTAACTCTGCCTTTTAAATAAATAAATAAATCTTAAAAAAATAAAGAGTTGGAGAGAGGAAGAGATAGGGATATATAGAGGGGATCTTCCATCCGCTGGTTCACTCCTCAAATGGCTGCATTGGCAGGGGCTAGGATATTCATCCAGGTCTCCCAGTTGGGTGCAGAGACCCAAGCACTTGGGCTGTCTTCTGCTGCTTTCCCAGGCACATTGGCAGGGAGCTGGATTGGAAGTGGAATAGCCGGGACTCGAACTGGTGCCCATATGGATGCTGGTGCTATAGGTAGCAGTTTAACCTGCTGCACTACAGCACTGGGCTCCATATAAACTTTACTGCACTAATAAGAGCTTTTATTTATTAACCTTAAATAGAAAGTCTAGAATGTAATGTAATTTAGGTCTTCCTGAGAATATAGTGTTTTTTTTTTTTTTTCCACATTGGTCTTTTCATGGTTCCATCCTTTCCTTTCATAGGGAGCTTTTCCCTCTTTCATGTTTTGTTTTGTTTTTTAAGATTTATTTAATTATTGGACAGGCAGAATGACACAGAGGAAAACACAGAGATAGATCTTCCATCTGCTGGTTTCACTCTCCAACTACATGTAACAGCTGCAGGCTGGGCAGGCCAAAACCAGGAGTGAGGAAATTTGTGTGGGTCTCCCATGTGGGTGGTAGGGACGTAGGGACCCAAGTACTTGAGTGATTGCCTGCTGCCTCCCAGGGTGCTGATTAGCAGGAAACTGGATTGGAGGCAGAGCTGGACTTTATCCCAGGCACTCTGATATGGGATATTCCAGGTGGCCTACAGTGCCCACTTGCTCCTTCCATGTTTGTACGGGAATTTTAGGGCTGCTGGTTAGCACATCTGCTCTGTTTTTCACTGGAGAGCAAGCTGTTGGTATACTTGCCTTTCTCTGTTCCAGAAGGTATTCTGTGCCTATGGTCCAGGTTGTGAATTTAATAAGCATTGAGTGTGGTTCTCAGGCAGTAGGGCAGGCCTGTCACTTCCCTGTCCAGTGCACTGCTTGTTCTCAGCATGGGCTGAGCCACGGGTGCTCCATTTCTGTGGCCCTGGTCCCCAGTCCTTCCCCACTCAGGCAGTCTGTAGGCTTTGTTTGGGTGATGCGGCTGCCAGGTCCACACGTTTGTGCAAGGTTGGGGTCTAGCCTTTCAGGTAAGAAGTGAAACTGAAGACAGCACAGGTTTTCTCTAGTGGTCACAGGCAGAGCCTCTGGAGAGAGACAGGCATGGTTTCAAAGCCCAACTCTTTGCTTGCCCTTAGCTGGATGACCTTGGGCAAGTTCACTTCCCTCCTGAGCCTTAGTTTCCTCCTTTGGATGTAAGAAGAGTCCCTGTCTTGCAGGGTTCTTGTAAGGATTAAAGACAGTCCTGTTTGTAAAGAGCTCACCAAAGTGCCTGGCTGTTGTTAGGTGGATTCTGACAGTGATCACGTGGGTCCTGGTGTCCTGGGGGCAGTGGGTGACAGTGTTCTGGCCTCCCCGACAGGCTGGCAGAGAAGTACCGAGAGTGCCTGTCCAACAAGGAGAAGATTCTCAAGGAGATAGAGGTGAAGAAGGAATACCTGAGCAGCCTACAGCCTCGCCTCAACAGCATCATGCAGGTGAGGCCCATCCGCCTTTGGCTTTGCCCTTGCCCCCACCACTCACCCTGGGGCCCGTTTGTCCTAAGTGGATGGAGCACAGTGCAAGGTTGGGCTTGTCTGCATCCCTGCCCAGCTGGGACGATAAGCTGGCGGAAGAGGAGTGCTGGCTGGGTGGGCTCAGGAGCAGATAAATCTATTGATTCAGCACATCCTCTGGGTGACGCACTTTCTCAGACTGTGTGGAAGTTCATTTTATTCCCTGAATGCTCCCCGTCAGCCCCACAGTCCCCATGCAACTAAACATGCTCCTGTAGACGTCCATCAGATCCATCAGATCCCATGATGGCTGACTCCTCGGGGCAAACTGCTCAGAGCTTGACTTGTGTTTCAAAGCCAGTAAGGGGCCGCTGCTGTAACCTGGAGAGTTAAGCCTCCACCTGTGGGCGCCGGTTCTTGTCCAGGCTGCTCCTCTTCCAGTCCAGCTCTCTGCTATGTCCTAGGAAGGCAGTGAAGGATGGCCCAAGTCCTTGGGCCTCTGCACCCATATGGGAGACTCAGAAGAAACTCCTGGCTCCTGGCTTCAGATCAGCCAGCATTGGAGAGTGAACCAGTGGATGGAAGACCTCTCTGTCTCTCCCTCTCTCTGTATTTAACTCTGCCTTTCAAATAAATAAATAAATAATAAATCTTAAAAAAAAAAAAAAAGAAAGAAAAGAAAAGAAAAAAGCCATTTGGTACCATAGGAGAAGCCCTCACTTTACTGGTAGAGGATCTTTTTATATAGGTGACCTGATTTTTGTTTGCTTTGTGAAGCAAGGTTCGGTCTAAATCCTTACTGTTCTATGACGCCAGGGAAGTGGCTAACGTGGAGGAAGTTTGTAAAAGAACCCTAGAGAAATTAAAAACTCACTTTTCTGGGACTTGGCAAGATTTGTGTTTCCTCCCTTCAGCTCTAGGCAAAGAATTAGAGTTGTTAACAAAAATATTCTCCAGGAACGCTTCAGGACAGGACAAAAGAGAAACAGAAATCAAAGGTTTAGTTGTACTGAACATCCCAGCCCCTCCATGTGATTAAATATTCTCCTGTTAACTGGAAACCCTCTAAAAATGTCCCTAAACAGGTGCATGTTAAGTAAGCTGTACAGCCTGACGGCGATGAGGCAAGTGTGGGTCAGTATACCACTGATGGAATGACTGGACGGAAAGAGAATCTGGTGTATTATTAAACAAAAAATACAGTATGATCTTATTTGTATACCTTGGTTTATAAAGTATCTGTGTATACATACAAGAGTACTTCAAAAATTTGTGGAAAATGGAGTTAAAAGATAAGTTTAGCGGTAGGCAGTTAACCTAGTGTTTAAGGCACCAGTTAAGAATGCACTTCAGATATTGCACACTAAACTCTGGCTCCTAAATCCAACTGTCACTGGTGAAGACCCTGGGAAGCAGGAATGATGGGTCAAGTGGTTGGGTTCCTGGCTTTGGCCCAGCCTAGTCCTGGCTGTTGCAGGCATTTGGGGAGTGATAAGAGATAGAAGATAGTGATAGTCTCTGTCTCTATCTTTGTCTGTCTTTCATCCTCTATCTCTGCTTCTGAAATAAACAGTAAATAAAATTTTAGTACCAAAAAATTTTGAAATCATACATAGTTTTTTCAAAATAGACATTTCTCATGAATTTTTCATATGCATGATTTCACAGTTTTTTGCACCAAAATAAATTTACCTTTACATTCCATTTTCTATAATTTTTTTTAAAGATTTATTTATTTGAATAGCAGAGTTGCTAGAAAGAGATCTTCCACTTACTGGTTCACACTCCAAATGGCTGCAATGGCTAGGACTGGGCCAGGCCGAAGCCAGGAGCCTAGTACTCCATCCTCGTCTCTCATATGGGTGGTAGGGGTCTAAGTTCTCAGGCCATCATCCTCTGCTTTCCCAGGCATAATAGCAGGGATCTAGATTGGAAGCAGAACAGTGGCGACTGTAATGGCCTCTGATATGGGATCCTGGTACTGCAGAAAGCAGTATAACTCCCTGAACCACAACATGTACATCTCCACGAACTTTTTTCTTTTTTTAATTTTTTTTTTTATTTGATAGGCAGAGTTAGACAGAGAGAAAGGTCTTCCTTCTGTTGATTCACCCCCCAAAAGGCCAGGAGCCAGGTGCCTCCCCCTGGTTTCCCAAGCGGGTGCATCCTCCACTGCTCTCCCGGGCCACAGAAGAGAGCTGGACTGGAAGAGGAGCAACCGGGATAAATCCGGCGCCCACATGGGATGCCAGCACTCTAGGTGGTGGTTTTACCCACTACGCCACAGTGCCAGCCCCCCAAATATAACTTTCTAAAAGATGTAATATATTACTTTTTTAAAAAAGATTTATTTATTTATTTGTAAGTCAGTGTTACACAGAAAGAGAAGGAGAGGCAGAGATAGAGAGGTCTTCCATCCGCTGGTTCACTCCGCAATTGGCCGCAACAGCCGGAGCTGTGCCGATCCAAAGCCAGGAGCCAGGAGCTTCTTCTATGTCTGCCACGTGGGTGCAGGGGCCCAGTGACTTGGGCCATCCTCTAGTGCTTTCCTAGACCATAGCAGACAGCTGGATCGGAAGTGGAACAGCCGAGTCTCGAACCCATGCCCCCATGGGATGCTGGCACTGCAGGCAGTGGCTTAACTTGCTACGCCACAGCACCGGCTCCTGCAGTATATTACTTTAAAGAATAATTTTAGGTGCAACTGTTTGGCTTAACAGTTAAGATGCTGGTTAGGAGACCCACATCCCATATTAGAGTAGGTTGGTTAGAATCCGAGCGCTGTTCCTAATTCTAGCTTCCTGAACATGTGCATCCTGGGAGGCAGCAGGCAGTGATGTGAATCCTGAGACCCCTGCCACCCATGTGGGAATCCTGGATTGAGTTCCCAGCTCCCAGCTTCAGCCTGGCCCGTGCCAGCTGTCGTGGGTACTTGGGGAGTGAACCAACAGGCGGGAACTCGTTGTCTCTCAAATAAATAATAATTTTATATACAGAAAGGCAATCAACTAGTATACGTATACAGCTCAATGAATGTTTGGTAGTTGAACACATCTGTATAACCAGTATCTAAAATCAGTTGAAAGAATATTACCAATTTTCCAGAAGGTCGTTTCTTCTCTGTCTGGGTCACTGTCTCCTCACTGCCCAGTAGCCATGACTTTGACTTCATGGGTTAGTTTTGCCTGTCTTTGACCTTTGCACAAGTAGGATCAGAGTATGTGCTCTTTGTGTCTGGCTGCTTTTGCTCAGTAGTTCTGAGATTCGTCTGTGCTGTTGTGCGTACTGGGAGTGCATTGGTTTTCAGTGATGGCTTTAGTGTTTGCTTTTGGTTGTTTCCAGGTGGGGCTGTTACCAGTAATGCTGTTATGAGCATTCTCATATGAGTGTCTGGTGCACATATGTACACGGATCTGTTGAACCCAGGAATGAAACTGCTTGGTCATATACAGTATGCTATGCATATGTTTAGCTTTGGTGGACACGAAAACAATTTTCTAAGATGATTGTATTGATTCCACTGGCGCCCAGTCGGTTTTAATTGCTCTACATCCTTGCCAGCACTTAGTATTGTTACTTACCTTAATTTTAGGCATTTTGGAGGGTGTCTCATTATGATTTTTGTTTTCATTTCCCCAGGGACTGGTGACATTGAGCACAGTACCTTTTGAATGCTTATTGGCTTTTGGATAATTTCTTTTGTGAAAGTCCTTCTGCATGTTTCTTACCCACTTTTCTGTTATTTATATTTTCTAGAAATAAATTTTTTAAAGTATTTATTTGAAAGGAAGAGGCGGGTAAGCAGAGAGAAAAAGGAAAACTCCCTCTGCTGGTTCCCTTTCAGATGGCCCACAATGACCAGGGACAGTTAACTCAGATCTCCCACATCAGTGCAAGAATTCAGTGACTTGAGCCATCACTGCTGCCTCCCAGGGTCTGCATTAGTAGGAAGATGGAGTCGGGAGCAAGGGGCAGGTTTTTAAGCCAGGGCACTCTCATGTGGGATGCAGGCATCTTAACTATTAGGCCACCCACCCACCCCCGGACATGAGTCTGTTCCCTGTTACCTTTGTTCCCATCCCATGACTTACCTTTTCATTCTCATGATGGCATTTTTTTGTAATGAACAGACGTTCTTATTATCTTATTAATAATTATCTAATTATTAATCTTTTCCTTTAGGGTTAGTGCTTTTTGTGTCCTGTTTAAGAAATGTTTTTCCCAAGGTCATGGGGATATTCTGTGTGTTCTAATAGAAGCTCTGCTGTTTATCTTTCAAATTTAGATCTGTAGTCATCTAGGAAGCAGATTTTGTATGAGTACTTCAGAAAGTCCTGGAGGGTCGACATTGAACCTAGCAGTTAAGACAGTGGTTAAGGCCGGCACCACGGCTCACTAGGCTACTCCTCCGCCTAGCGGCGCCGGCACACCGGGTTCTAGTCCCGGTTGGGGTGCCGGATTCTGTCCCGGTTGCCCCTCTTCCAGGCCAGCTCTCTGCTGTGGCCAGGGAGTGCAGTGGAGGATGGCCCAGGTGCTTGGGCCCTGCACCCCATGGGAGACCAGGAAAAGCACCTGGCTCCTGGCTCCTGCCATCGGATCAGCGCGGTGCGCCGGCCGCAGCGCACCGGCCGCAGTGGCCATTGGAGGGCGAACCAACGGCAAAGGAAGACCTTTCTCTCTGTCTCTCTCTCTCACTGTCCACTCTCCCTGTCAAAAAAAAAAAAAAAAAAAAAAAAACAGTGGTTAGTACTCCTCTGCCTTAACAACTGCTGTGCTCGAGTTGCTTTTTTTTTGAAAGGCAGAAGAGCAGAGAGAGAACTAGAGATCTTTCATCCAGTGGTTTACTCCTGAAATGGCTGCATTAGCCAGGGTTTGGCAAGGCTGGAACCAGGAGCCAGGAATGCCATCTGGATCTCCCTTGTGGGTGACGGGCCATCTTGTGCTGCTTTCCCAGGTACTTCAGTAGGGAGCTGGGTCAGAAGTATAGTAGCCAGGTTCCAGACTGGAACCCACACTCCCATGTAGGATGGCTGCTTCACAAGTAATGGTTTAACCCATGGTGCCACAATACCAGCTCCAAGGAATTTTTTAATTTCATCATCTTTTTTACTGTCTGTTACTGGCATAAAGGAATGCAATCGACTTTTTCATATTGACCTTTTATCTGCCTATTAGTTCTACTGGTTTATTATTATTATTATTATTCCCATAAATAAAAAACTACAGTCACTAAGCAATCACTAAGCAGGGGGACTAGCTTTCACACACAAACATACACACACACACACACAAACACAAATCCTTTTGTTGTGTGCAGGCTTCCCTCCCAGTGCAGGAGTACCTGTTCATGCCGTTCGACCAGGCTCACAAGCAGTATGAGACAGCTAGGCACCTGCCGCCTCCACTCTACGTGCTCTTTGTTCAGGCCACTGCCTACGGGCAGGCCTGTGGTGAGTATGGGGACCGGGTGAGGAGGAGGGGCTGTGGGAGCTGCAGCCATGGCTGCCCACATCCTTTGGAAGCACTGCCGCCCAGGGGAGCTCCCCGTCCCTGCCCAGAAGCCCTCAGGTGACAGAGGCTGCCTCCCCTCGCACTGCCTAGCATGACTGATTTGACTAGCTGATCTGAGGCTGGACTAACCTGATGGGCATTTCAGAAAGTGGCTTTGGTTTTCCTGAGCCTGGCTTGGTGGCTGTGGGGTGCAGCACGCAGGCTACTCTGGGCTCCCAAGTGCTCGCCCTAGCAAGGCACGCTTGGCCAGTGGATCAGCGCCTCTTGTTCTGCTTCTGGGGGCGGGGCCTGGTGAACGTAGGTTCCAGCCAGCTCTCCTGGGCTTTTGCCACACCCCAAACAGGCTGCATGTGATTGCAGTGAGGTGCTAGGTCAGAGGATGCATCCCCTATGCTTACGGGCAGCCTGTGATTTCGCTAGGGTTTTGAGGAGTTTTTGCCTCTTGCTCTGATGCAGCTTTCTCCCAGCACCTGAACCGTTCCCTGCCCCCGGCGTCACACAGGCATGCATTGCACCAGTGCATGCCTCTCCTTCTGCCAGGAGCCCCCACACATCACTGTCTCTCTTCTTGTGTCTTCCTGGCCCTCCCGTCCTCTCCCTGCCCATTGTTCTCCCTCCTGTCTCCATCGTCATCAGCTCATATGAAATCCTCCTCCCAGCCCCCTAGACAGGGTGAGTACTTCTCTTCTTTTGTGTATAAATCTCAGTCTATTCCCGCTCCTGTTTTCCTGTAGAAGTACAAGATTAAATGACTGAAAAGGTAGTCCAACATTTGCCAGTGGAGGATGGGGGCAACCAGAGACAAGGCAGGGGCCAGCCACTTGTAGGAAGTTTCTCATCCCTCCTTAGTGTGGCTGGGCAGATTGTTCGGGCTCCTAGGACTGTCTGTACTCTTTAAGGGTGGAGAAGAGACGGTGACCTGTCTGGGCTCATGATCCTAGACCCCCAGAGTTTCAGAAAGGGGGCCCAGGGGTAGCACCTAGCAAGGTGTTGGACCTGATGTGTGGAACAGGCCAAGCTCAAATTGAACAGACCTGGTCTTGAATCCTGGCTGGGATATAACTTCTGTGAGCCTTAACTTTCTCATGTATAAGTGGCTGTAATAGTGCTGCCCCATAAGGTTATTGTGAGGATCAAAAACTAATATTTAAATATAGATTTATGATTAAAATTATAAGCATCAGCACATTCAGTCCTCACCACTTAACAGGGTAGCTGCTGTTTGTCAAGCTCCCATTTCATATGTGCAGAAACAGGCTTAGAGCAGCGTCGTAACTCTAGGTCATGTGTTTGTGAGCTGGTGGGACTGGACTATAGGGTCCAGGTCCCCACCCTTGCCACCTTCCCACTGCCTCCCAGTTACACGACACAGTGCCAGCCAGGTGCTTGGTGTCGTGCAGAGTAGTGAGTAAGTGCTTGGCCAGGTGAGAGCTGCTGTTTCTGGGCTCTGCACAGGTATGGGCTTCTGCATGCAAACCTTTAAGAATTAGCACAAGAGTTCCACATAGCTTAGGCTCTTAGTTTGAATTTCTGGGCCTCAGTGCACACCTGGAAAAAGTCTTAGGGGATGCTTGTCTGGGAACCTGCAGTTTGGGTTCTTTGTTCTCATTAAATGATGGAAAGAATTGTAAGTTTTCTACCTTGTTCCACTTAATCTGGAGAAAGGGCTCCCACTCTAGTCAGTAAGAAGCTGGGCAGAAGCAAAAGAAATGCGTCCCAGAGCTGGCTCTGCCTGGCCTCCGCCTTCCCAAGTGACTTTCCCATGCAGCTCTTTCTTGCCCACAGATAAGACGTTGTCTGTGGCGATCGAAGGCAGTGTGGATGAAGCCAAGGCTCTGTTCAAGCCTCCTGAGGACTCTCAAGGTAATGTGGTTGTGCTGCCTCTCCTAGGGCCACCAGGCCACCCCAAAGACCTCTGCATAGGAAGCACTCTGGGGGAGATGGGGAGAGCTCATTTCCTGCAGTCACAAAGACCTGCCTTTGGAGGGCAGCCCTGCCACTTGCTTCCTCACCCTGGGGGAGGTCCTTAACATTTCTAAGCCTCAGTTTACTTGTTTGCAAAATTACTATGTGGGTAGAGTGAGGAAGTGCACACAAAGGCCTTACTGACGTGCCTGGTACATAATAGCTCCTCAGCTTGTGAGATCATTCCTTGTATTACCATTGTTACCCTGTCACCAGTGGAAGGGCCAGTCCTCCGTAGAAATGACAGTAGAAAGCCCTTTTGGAAAGCAGAAGTGGTGGATTTAAGGTCATTCTTTTAATTTTATTAATTTATTTGAAAGGCAGAGAGAGAAAAAAGAGATCTGTCCACTGTTCATTCCCCAAATGCGCGCAGTAGCTGGGGCTATGCCAGTCTGAGGCCAGGAACCCAGAACTCGGTCCTGGTTTCTCATACAGGCTGCAGGGTCTCAGCCTCTTGAATCAGGTGACACGGTAGCAGACAGCTGGAACTGGAAGCTGAGCTGGGACTGGAATCCAGGCACTCCACTATGGGATACAAGGGTTCAAATGGGCTTTTAACCACTGAGCCGAACGCCCACCCCTCAGTTTTCTCTCCTGTCATTTCCATGATTTCTGTACTGAATAAAAACACCTTTCTTTATTCTAAAGAATCCATTTATAGAAGACAGGGTCTAGGTCCCTGGAGTGCCTGTGGTCTGGGTGGGCTGCGGGGACTGTTGGAGCCCTCTAACCCCCCACTGCCCTGTCTGTGTGGCTGCAGATGACGAGAGCGACTCTGATGCCGAGGAGGAGCAGACCACGGTGAGAGCCCTTTCCTCTCTGGGGGCATCGGCTGTACTGGGCCCTGCTTGTTGGCAGCACCTGCCGCCCCAGAAGCAGAGAAAGAGTTTGAGAGGACCAGCTGCTGGGAGGGGAGCCTGGCAGCCGCTGAGCCAGAGTAGCAGGTCGCAGGCAGCCAGGCAGAAACCTCAGGTGGGAGGGACAGGGAGGGAGAGTCCCAGGGCCAGCGCTCATCAGTCCGCTCTTTCCTTGTTCCAGAAACGCCGGCGGCCCACGCTGGGGGTTCAGTTGGACGACAAGCGCAAGGAGATGCTGAAGCGGCACCCGCTGTCTGTCATGCTGGACGTAAAGTGTAAAGGTCCGCCCTGCTCACTCTGTTCTGGGGACCCACAGCCTGAGGCTTTGCCAGCTCCAGGGGCAGAGGCCCGGCAAGCTTCGTGCTACTAAAGGATTCCTGTTTGCCAGGAATCCTTGTTTATTACACATGGAGGGTGGTGGTGGTGGTGGTGGTTTTAAATGTATAACCGTAACAACACAGCAACAGAACTCGAGATCTGGAAATGAAGCTTGGTAAAACTGTACCTCTGACTGAATTTGACAAGTCAGGTACAGAGAACAAGGTACAGGCATATGCAGGTTTTGAATGACATGACCAATATGCTTAATTGAATACATGTAAGTACAACTGTGCATTCTACAGAGATTGTCTGGTATTGGAAGGTAGTGTGTGGTCAGGCATCCCAGCAGCATAAGACTTGGCGTGGACTTTTAAGTGTCCCTCTTACCCAGGCTCTCAGATGCCAATCCTGCTCTTACCTCCAAGGACAGCTTTGTGACAGATCACTTATGTGTGTGGTGGGAATATTCTGTACACTGGAAGCTTTCATGCAAGTTTCTATTTATCACCTTCTTTATTTTATTTTTCAAGATTTTATTTATTTATTTGATATATTTACAGACAGAGGGAGAGATAGAGAAAAAGGTCTTGGGGCTGGCGCTGTGGCGCAGTAGGTTAATCTTCCACCTGTGGCGCCAGCATCCCATATGGGTGCCAGTTCTTGTCCTGGCTTCTCATCTTCTGATCCAGCTCCCTACTGATGGTCTGGGAAAGCAGGGGTCCAAATGTTTGGGCCCCTGCACCCACGTGGGAGACCTGAAAGAAGCTCCTGGCTCTTGGCTTTGGATTAGCTCAGTGCTGGCCATTGCAGCCATTTGGGGAGGGAACCAATGGATGGAAGACCTGTCTGTCTGTCTCTCCCTCTCACTGTAACCCTACCTCTCAAATAAATAAATATATATATATTTTTTTTGAAAAGGTCTTCCATGCACTGGTTCACTCCTCAAATGGCCACAATGAGCCAATCAGGAGCCAGGAGTTTCTTCCAGGTCTCCCACATGGGTGCAGGGGCCCAAGAACTTGGGCCATCCTCTACTGCTTTCCCAGGCAATTAGCTTGGAGCTGGATTAGAAGAGGAGCAGATGAGACACAAACTGGCACTTATATGGGATGCCAACACTGCAGGTGGAGGCTTAGCCTACTATGCCACTCTGCTGGCCCTTTATTTTTTATATAAATGGAAATGCAGTTTCCACAGTGATCTTTGCCTTTTCTTCTTATTTTGAGATAATTATAGACTTTAGAAGAATTGTAGGGGGTTGGAGGGATAGAGGGGATGGTGAATGGGTACAGGGGTGTAGTTGGATGGGAGAAATAACCTTGAACGTTCTGGAGCACAGTGAGATAACTTTGAGCAGTATTTCTTTTTTAAAAAAATTTATTTATTTACTTGAAAGGCAGACAGACAGAGATCTTCCATCCAAATGCCTCCTACAGCCTGGGTTGGGCCAGGCTGAAGCTCGGAGCCTGGAACTCAATTCAGTTCTTCCATGTAGACGGCAGGGACCTAAGTACCTGAGCCATCACCTGCCGCCTCCTAGGGTGTGCGTGAGCAGGAAAGTAGACCGAAAGTGGAGCAGAGACTCAAATGGAGGCACTGGGATGTGAGCATCTTAGCTGTTGAGCCAAATGTCTGCCCCAGAATAATGCTTTTTATTCCCCCCACAGGCACTCCCCTCCTCTTCTTCTTCTTCTTTTTTTAAGATTTGTTTATTTTATTTGAAAGCAATACAGAAAGGCAGAACAGAGACAAAGGGAGATCTTCCATGGTTCACTCCCCAAATGGCCGCAGCAGCCAGGGCCGGGTGGATCCAAAGCCAGGAGCCAGGAGCCTCATCTGGTCTTCCACATGGCTGCTGGGTCCCAAGGACTTTGGCCATCTGCTGCTGCTTTCTCAGGAGCATTAACTGGGAGCTGGATCAGAATTGGAGCATCCAGGACTCAAACCAGCATCCATATAGGACACCAGCATTGCTGCAGTAGCTTTATCCACTGTGCCACAGCACCAACCCCCGTGAATATTTCAGAATAACTAGTAGAATTTTGAATATCCCCAACATGAAGAAATGATGTCTGAGGTGGTAGATAGGAGAGTTACCTTGATCTGATCATTGTACTGTGTATACATGTATTGAAATGTCACCCTGTACCCCATAGATATATACAGTTACTTTGTGTCAATTAGGAATTTTATTTATTATGAAAAGATTTGTAAAGATAATACAGAGAGTCCCCACAAACTGTTCATTTAGCTTCCCCAAAGTTACCAGCTGAATTAACTGTCACATGGTTAGCAAAGCCAGTGTCCGTTTCAGTGGTCCCATACCATTAAGCAGACTACAGAACTTGTCCAGCATTCCCTTATTTTTCCACTCATCCTTTTTCTGTCTTGGGATCCAAGCCAGGATCTGTCACTATATTTAGTTGTCATACTCCGTAGTCTCCTCCAGGTGGTGACAGTTCCTCATTCTTCTCTTTTTTTTTTTAAAGGGGTTAATCCTTTTTTTTTTTTTTTAAAGATTTATTTATGTATTTGAAAGAGTTGCAGAGAGAGAGAGAGAGAGAGGTCTTCCATCCTCTGGTTCACTGCCCTGTTTGCCGCAATGGCCTGGGCTGCACTGATCCAAAGCCAGGAGCCAGGAGCTTCCTCTAAGTCTTCCCACACGGGTGCAGGGGCCCAAGGACTTGGGCCATCTTCCACTCCTTTCCCAGGCCATAGCAGAGAGCTGGATTGGAAGTGGAGTAGCCAGGACTCGAACCGGCGCTCACATGGGATGCCAGCACTGCAGGTGGTAGCTTTACCTGCTACGCCACTATGCTGCCCCCCACCTTTTTATTTAAGATTTATATGTTTATTTGAGAGAGTTACAGAGGAGAGGCAGAGGCAAAGGGATAGAGAGAGGTCTTCATCCACTGATTCACTCCCCAAATGATCACAACGGCCGGGGCTGGACCAGGATGAAGCCAGGAGCCAGATGTTTCTTCCAGATACTGCATGTGGGTGCAGGGACCCAAGGACTTGGACCATCTTCCACTGCTTTCCCAGGCACATTAACAGGGGGCTGGATTGGATGCAGCATATGGGACTTGAACCAGTGCCCATATGGGATGCCGGTGCTACAAGTGGCAACTTAACCCACTATGCCACAACACTGGCCCCAACTCTTTCCTTTTCTTTCAAGACCTTGATTGAGTGAGGTTATGGACATGTCTCTTGTTACTAATCATGATGACCTTGGCCCCGTGCTTCCTTTCCACATTGTATTTTTTTTTTAATTTTTAATTAATTAATTTATTTATTTTGACAGGCAGAGTGGACAGTGAGAGAGAGAGACAGAGAGAAAGGTCTTCCTTTGCCGTTGGTTCACCCACCAATGGCCACCGCGGCTGGCGCGCTGCGACCGGCGCACTGCGCTGATCTGATGGCAGGAGCCAGATGCTTGTCCTGGTCTCCCATGGTGTGCAGGGCCCAAGCACTTGGGCCATCCTCCACTGCATTCCCTGGCCACAGCAGAGAGCTGGCCTGGAAGAGGGGCAACCGGGACAGAATCCGGCGCCCCGACTGGGACTAGAACCCGGTGTGCCGGCGCCGCAAGGCGGAGGATTAGCCTAGTGAGCCGCAGCGCCGGCCTCCACATTGTATTTCTTAGAAGCAGAATCACTGAGTCGAGCCCATACCCAAGGGTGCTTCTTAGAGGGAAGCAAAGAATTGGTAGACATGCTCTTTGCTGTTTTTTATCAAATATTACGTTGCTGTTGCATTTCAGCTTTTATAGTAAAAGGCCATAAAACCACTTGGTGTTTCTGTGGCACTGTTGACTCTGCTTTACGTGTGTGACTTATAAATTGTCCCTTCCATTCTCAACCCCTGCTCCAGATGACAGTGTGCTTCACCTGACCTTCTACTACCTCATGAACCTCAACATCATGACAGTGAAAGCCAAAGTGACAACCGCCACGGAGCTGATCACTCCCATCAGTGCAGGGTACTGGACAGGCATGGTGGGCGCGGGCCTGGGAGGGGCGTGTGCTGAGCACCTGGGTGGAGCTGCTGTCGGTTCCTCCCTCGGGCTCTGAGGAGATTGGCTGTCATCTCTGTGTCCACGAGGCCCAGGAGTCCCGGCCCATCACTTGAGAAAGCACTCGCTGACTTTATTTGTGAAGTCCTCTTACTGTGAACAGTAGACATGATGATGACAGCATCGTTATTTATTTATTTAATTATGTATTTGAAGATTTATGTATGTATTTGAAAGGCAGAGATACCTAGAGAAGGGTGGGGGAGATATCTTCCATCTACTGGTTCACTTCTCAAATGGCCAGGGCTGCGCCAGGCCAAAGCCAGGAGTTTCTTCCAGGTTTCCCACGTAGTTGGCAGGGGCCTAAGAGCTTGTGCCATGTTCTGCTGCTTTCCTAGGTGCATTAGCAAGGAGCTGAACTGGAAGCAGAGCAGCTGGGACTCAGACCAGTGCTCTGATATGGGGTGCGGGCATAGCAAGCTGTGGCTTAACCCACTGCACTGTTAACACGAGCCCTCGGAGTTGTAACCACTGCACCAGTCGCCTGCACCTCTGTTGCTGGGATTTTCACTCTCCACCTCAGTTCAAACCCAGGTTGTCCTTCCCTGTGTGGTGGGAGGAAGGCTGTGCTGGGTCTCAGCAGAGGGTGAACAGAGGCACAGTAACTACACAGCCTTCCCAGGAAACCCCTGACTATCCCTTCCACAGGCAGGGGTAGTTGGAAAGAACTGGCAGGCCCTGGGGTGACCCAGCCCCCACTTAGGTGAGCACTACAGTGCTGGAGAAAGCACTGAGGCTCAGGCCTGGGGCCTGGTGCAGCAGGGCTCTTCCCATCCCATCCAGTCTGCCTGACGGAAAGTGTCTCCTGGCTTTGAGACCCTGCCCGTAGACTCCACACTCCTTTTAGGCCACAGCAGCCTCGGTCCCTGAGCTGGGGAGTGTCTGACTACTCAGACGCACTCTGGGTGAAATTGACCCTGACTCCAGCAGAGGGAACCCAGGGCTTGTGCTTCTGAGCACCCAGCTACCAGGCTCGGCAAGGACTTGGTTCAGTGAGCAGCTTTAGGGTCCCCTGGATCCTGGTGGAGCTGCTTGTCGGGAGCATCCGCTCACTCATTTCCCAGGTGCCCTGCGTGCTAACACCAGGGCCGCAGGCTATGTTGCCTGCTCGACTCCAGCTCCTTGCGAAGCTGTCTGCCTGACCTCAGTGTCCGTTTCCTCATTCTGTGCCCCTGATTGTGATAATCCTTTCAGGGTACTTGTTAAGTCAGTTCTGGTGCTTAGCATAGACGAGGCACGTGGTAAATGACAGCTGGCTGATCATCATTGATGCTTTTCACTTTCACAGTAGCTCTACCAGGTATCTGGCTCTGGACACAGGTGAAGAGGAAAGCCTTAGCTGAGTGTCAGTCTGGCCCTGTAGCACTGTGCTGTACTCTGGGCATCTCCAGGTGGGCCCTGACCCCAAAGAAAATGCCAGGGTGGAAACAGGATTGGATTTTTCTTTTTAAAGATTTATTTTATTTATTTGAGAGACTCAGAGAGAGAGAGAGACAGAGAGAAAGGTCTTCCATCCACTGGTTCGCTCCCCAAATGGCCACAATGACTGGAGCTGGGCCAATCTGAAGCCAGGAGCCAGGAGCTTCTTCCGGGTCTCCACATGGGTGCAGGGCCCCAAGGACTTGGGCCATCTTCTACTGCTTTCCCAGGCCATAGCAGAGAGCTGAATCGGAAGAGGAGCAGCCGGGACATGAACTGGTATCCATATGGATGCTGGTGCTGCAGGTGGAGGCTTAGCCAACTATGTCACAGCACCGGCCCCCCAGGGATACTTTTTAAAAAATATAATCACAATCACAATGTCACACTAGTGTTCAGTATCCAGTCAGGGTTCAGAGTGCCCTGATTTTCCCATAAATTTTTATTTATTTATTTTTTTTGGCAGTGGTGATTTTGTTTTCATAGTTTGTATTTTGAATCTGGATCACAGTAAGGTCCATGCATTATAGATGGGTAAAGCTTTGTCTGAGTTTTTGCCGTTCATCTGTCGAGGAAAGTGGGTTGTTTGCTATGTAGGTTCACCCTCGTCTGGATTTTGGTGGTTGTGTCTCTGTGGAACAGTTTAACATGTTACTCTTTGTCCTTGTGTTTCCTGCGGATTGATATCTAGATAGGCAGTTTGATCCCATACTGATTTTTTTTTTGCTGGGGAGAGGGCAGGAGTATGTCATACATTTTGTTTGACACCTCCAGGGGGAGACACAGGCTGACTCTTTTTGTGATGTTAGCAGCACACTAACAACTGTTGACAACTATTGCCTATATCTGTTCATTCATTAGGGAATTGGTGTTTCTAATATAGACATTTTAATCAGAATTAGATTAACACTGCTGAGTTTTCCTTAAGAAATTATTTTCCAGATTGATCTTCATTAGGCCATTTCAATGAATTTTTCATTAATCCATTAACTTTTTTTAAGATTTATTTACTTATTTGAAAGGCAGAGTTACAGAGGGGCAGAGAGAGAGAAAAAGGTCTTTCATCCGCTGGTTCACTCCCTAGATGGCCACAACAGCCGGAGCTGTGCTGATCTGAAGCCAGGAGCCAGGATCTTCTTCCGGGTCTCCCACGTGGGTGCAGGGGCCCAAGGACTTGGGCCATCTTCCACTGCTTTCCCAGGCCATAACAGAGAGCTGGATCGGAAGTGGAGCAGCCAGGACCTGAACTGGTACCCACATGGGATTCTGGCACTGCAGGCAGCGGCTTCACCTGTTACGCCACTGCACTGGCCAAAATGTGGATATCTTAGCTTCTAGGCTACATGCCCTCTCCTCAACTATATTTAGTCATTTTCCAACCAAGGTTGTTTTTTTTTTTTGTTTTTTTTTTTTTTTTTTTTTTTAATTTAAGATCCATTTATTTATTGTAAAGGCAGAATAACTGAATGGGAGGTGTTCCATTCACTGGTTCCCTCCCCAAATGGCCACAACGGCCAGGGATGAGCCAGGCCGAAGCCAGGAGCCAGGAACTCTATCCAGGTCTCCCACCTGGGAGGCAGGGGCCCAGGTTCTCAGGTCATCTTCCATTGCTTTCTCAAATGCATTAGCAGGGAGCAGGATTAGAAGTGGAACAACTGAGAGTGGACCAGTGGCGCAATATAGGATGCTGGTTTTGCAAGCAGTGGCTTAACCCACTGCCCTGCAACACCAGCTCCTCAGCTAAGATTTTTAAATCTCTTTTCCATCAAAACCTTGTAACAGCGGCCAGCACTGTTAAGCCACCGTCTGCAGTGCCAGCATCCCGCATGGATGCTGGTTCAAGTCCCGGCTGCTCCACTTCTGATCCAGCTCTCTACTATGGCCTGGGAAAGTAGTAGGGGATGGCCCAAGTGCTTGATTCCCTGCACCCGAAGAGGAGGCCTGGAGAAAGCTCCTGGCTCCTGGCTTTGGATTGGCCCAGCTCCAGCCATTGTGGTCATTTGGGGAGTGAACCAGTGGATGGATGACCTCTCTCTCTCTCTCTCCATCTCTCTGTCAGTAACTCTGCCTTTCAAATAAATAAAAATCTTAGAAAAACAAAAAAGCACCTTGTAACAGATTTAACTAATGGAATAGTTTTTCATTTGGGTGTTAGATTTTTATGACTATAAACAGCCTCTCCTTTTATGTCTCTTACTTTTACCAAATTCATTTGTCCTGAGCTCCATGTTATCAAGAAGTTTGATTCTTCATTAGGTTTTGTCAATAAAAGCCCTTCCATGCAGCTTTGGTCCTATTTTATTTTGATCAGTTAATAGTAGTCACTAAACACTAACCAAAAGACATGTATTCTCTGGGCAGCTCTTGTGAGGCAGCAGAGGTGGCAGAGACACGGTCTGGGGTACGTGGTGAGACTGAGAATAGGGAAGGGGCAGGAGCTGCCACCGTGTTCAGCACGCTGGGCAGTAGGAGCAGCATTCCCGCCTGCGTGCTCCTGATGCAGATGAAGAGAGATGAAGGAGAACCCCTATTGGTTCAGGGCAGGAAGAGGCCTGTCTCCTTTGTGATACAATCGCCATGCTATCCCTGACACCACCTCTTCTCTGTCACCTTAATTACAGCCTGTGCCCTAACCATCCCAGGTGGATAGCAGTCTGTGGCTGTCTCTGCTTACGACACTGGGTCACCTTGTCTCCAATGCTTGTGATAATATCTTTCTTTAGGCATCTAATGGAGTCCTTTTTTTGTGATTAGCATGAGATTTGGTCAAAGTGAGACACATACCAGCGCTGTGCCTTATTGTCTGGGTTGGAAAGGAGTCTGTTCTGCTTCTGAGCTATTGCTGGTATCCTGGGATTTGCCTCTGACATAAGGCCCTGTCACCGTATCAATGTGTTGTTTTTTTTTAATTTTTAAAAAAGATTTATTTGTTTGAAAGAATTACAGAGAGAGAGTGATAGAGAGAGAGAGAGAGAGATCTTCCTTCTGCTGGTTTACTCCCCCAGTGGCCCCAACAACCAGATCTGGCCCAGGCTTCAGCCTGGAGCCAGGAATTCCATCCGTCCATCCTGGTCTCCCGCATGAGTGACAAGGGCCCAAGTGCTTGGCCCTTCTGCTGCTCTCCTAGGTGCGTTAGTAGGAAACTGGATCAGCACTGGAGCTGATACAGAGTGTGGCATTGCAGGCCACAGTTCAACCCACTGTGCCACAGCACCTGCCCACACCATATAATAATTGAAGGAAGACTTTTTTTTTAATTGGTGGTTAAGAGTACTGCTCTCTGTGAGCAGCACAAAACCTGCTTCTAGCTTTTACTCGCAGTGTGATTGTGGAAAAGCCGTAGCTTTCAAAGCTCTGAGTCTCCTCTTAGAATGGAAATGATAATCCTGCCTCAGGGTTGTGAGACTCCAATGTCCTTGAGCACATAAAGGAACTGGCCCACAGGAAGCAGTAAGTGGTGGCTCCAGTCATCTGTGAGAGGGGACATTACCACGCCCATAAACCAAGTCTCCCCTGAGGCAGTACATTCACCAGCATTCTCACCGAGGTCTCTCTTCCCTTTTCCAGGGACTTGCTATCTCCTGACTCAGTCCTGAGCTGTTTGTATCCCGGGGATCATGGGAAGAAAACTCCGAATCCAGCCAATCAGTATCAGTTTGATAAAGTTGGGTGAGTGAGCGAGCAGCATTCTACCTCTCCCAGGCTCTCAGCTTCTGTCTGTGGCAGCTCAAACCCAAGCAGGAGGCCTGTTAGGGCCAGAGGCCACCAAGAGGCAGGGACGACCCAGGGTAGAAGGGGCACTTGCCCATTGTCGCTTACAAGTTAAAGGGATGACATGAAAGGCAGGAAGAATCAAAACTTGGGGAACATAAGAGTAGGTTTTATTGTATCACATGATAGAATAAAAGTAATATTTTAATTCTCAGATTAAAAATTTATAAATTAGACTGTTGAAGACATCAGTATGCTGCTTTTTTTATTTTTTTCTTTTAAGATTTATTTTATTTATGTGAAAAGCAGAGCCAGAGAGTTAGAGACAGAGAGAGGGGTCTTCCATCCACAGGTTTACTCCTCAAGTGGCCACAGATCTGAAGCCAGGAGATTCTTCTGGATCTCCCACTTGTGTACAGGGGCCCAAGCACTTGGGCTGTGCTCTGCTGCTTTCCTGTGCACATAAGCTGGGAGCTGGATTGGAAGTAGAGTAGTGAGACTTGAACCAGTGCCCATATGGGCTGCTGGGGCTGCTGGCTGTGGCCTAACCCACTATACCACAACACCAGCCCCAATATACTGCCTTTTTGTTCGAAATTTGCTAGTGAGTTGAAGGCTGCGAGAGGAGAAAGGGAAAATGAGTGTGGGAGAGATGAACTTCCCAAGGGGGCTTCTCTTGCAGCCTGGCTGTGAGCTGGGCTGAGCCTGAGGGCCTGAGCTTTTGTGAGTCATGGGAGCATGGGAGGAGGATTGCATCCCAGGACAGAGCAGAAGTAGATTATAAAGTCATTTCATTCTGTCGATTTTTTCTACAGCATCCTGACTTTGAGAGACTATGTACTCGACCTGGGTCACCCTTATTTGTGGGTACAGAAGCTGGGTGGCCTCCACTTCCCCAAAGAGCAGCCCCAGGTATGTAGACTGAGCGGATCTCCCTAGCTTCTCTGCCAGGTGCCTTTCAGAGCTTTGAAGTAGCAGGATGTTTTCCTTCGGGGCTAGAACCTGTCATCCCCTTAGGACTGAGAGGTCCCCAGCCTCCTTGTACTGAGGTGGCTTTTGCCTTCTCCTGGAGCCTCGTAGTCATTACCCCGGGATAACTTGGGTAAATGCTGCAAGCTGTGCTGCCCTCTGTCTTGTGTACCAGGATGCCGTGAACAAGGTGTGAGCAGAAGCTCAGGGTGCCTGACACCTGAGCAGAAGGCTGCTTTTTCTCGGGAACTATTGTTCCTGCCAGGACTCAGTGTCCGGCCCCTGGGGTTCCTGAAAGGTACCCGCCTTGAGGCAGACAGGCAATGCCTGGAGAAGAGGGGAAGATTCCGACGAGTGTCTTTTGCTGTCGTTCACAGCACACTGTGGTTGCTGACCACTCGCTGAGCGCTAGCCACATGGAGACCACCATGAAGCTGCTGAAGACCAGGGTGCAGTCCCGCCTGGCCCTCCACAAACAGTTTGCATCCCTGGGTAAGCTGGTGCTGGAGCGTACACCACTTAGACACCAGGGGTCAACAGTGACCTAACCTTTCATTCAGTGCTCTTGAATTCTGCTGATGGGTCAGGATTCCTGCCGTTTCCTAGCAGGGCTCTTGGCAGCTTCATCCAGGCAGAAATCAGAGCTCCCTGCAGTCATCAGGGCTGTCCCAGCCCTCCCAGACAAGGCCTAAAGCCTCGGAGTAGCACAAGGTCGTGGGTTGTTCAGGGGCAGGATCTCATTCTAGTTCAGTGCATCGTAGATCTGGTGTGCATTCCACAGGTATTTAGTAAGAGCATGATTCATGGCAGGCCCTGAGCGTAGAACAGTGAAGGCAGAGGGGCCTGCCTTTGTGGAGCTCACACTCGGCTTATGTGAGTAGAGCTGTCCAGGGAGCCACTGCCTCTCCCCTTGCTGTAGGCCTGAGCTCATGTTCCCCACCTGCCTGTCCTCTTAAACTCCCAGGGGACCCTAATGAGCCACTGACCTGGGTGGTGCTGGTATGGGGGTTTTCTTGTAGCGTACTCATTCAACAGATTCTTGGAAGGTATCTGTCATGCACCCAGCATCTGTAGGGTCATGGAGGGGGAGCGGTGTCGGGGTCACTGTGGTCTAAAAGAGCTACTGTCAGGAAAGGCATAGGATTTCCAGGGCCCATCTGTAGACCCTGTGCCAGGCCAGCTCTGGGCTTGCAGTGGGCAGTGATCTCTTCAGAACAGCCTCTCTCTCCTGTGCCCATCCCTTGGTCTCCATCAGCGCTGCTGACTGTGTCCGCAGATTGGATGATTGTCATCCCTGACCGCCTTCGCTGTGTTGGCGTCTTTGCTTATTGGAATGCTCACAGGAATTTACCCTGCAGCGGTTCCCCAGGTCTGCCTTGGAGGAACTGACACAGAACACCTCTGTCATTCCTCCGGCAAGGTCAGCTGTGGGAACAGCCCTCTCAGCTGTCTGGCCTAAGGAACAGTCACAGCTGCAGGGGCCGTGGTTTTGGCCACAGGGCTTTTTGTTTTGCCCTTTGAATGCTGGCGCCAGATCTGGCCAGGACCACAGCCCTGGGTGAGGGTCAGCGGGTGTCCCTGCTCTCTTTGGCATATGTTGACCTCACTACGTCTTGAGTGCCAGGTGGACCTGGACAGCTGGCAGAGCCATCAGCCCTCCAGAGAGCCCCAGGAGGATGTTCTTTGTCCATTCTACCTGTGACACCACCTGTCTGGCTCTCTTTTAGAGCATGGCATTGTACCAGTTACCAGTGATTGCCAGTACCTCTTCCCTGCCAAGGTTGTCTCTCGCCTGGTGAAGTGGGTGACGATTCCCCATGAGGATTATATGGTAGGTGGAGGAATGACAGGTTTCTCTTACTGGCCGACTGGGGGAGGAGGGGTTACTGCAGACTGTGTGACCTTTCAGCCCCTGCCCTCTGCTGGGAGGGCAGGGAATTGACCAGAGAAGCCAGCATGTCACTTCTTGTCCACTGTCCTGTTCTAGGAGCTCCATTTCACCAAAGACATTGTGGAGGCGGGACTGGCAGGAGACACCAATCTCTACTATATGGCGCTCATCGAAAGGGGCACAGGTAATTGCTCTGAGGGTCACGGTGCTCCTGAGGCTGGGGCGCTGCCGAGGATCAAACACCTGGGGGTGGCCTGGAGGAAGCAGACAATCCTGGAATGCTGCTGCGAGGACTTAGCAGAGAGCAGTGGTCTTGGAGCCCCGTTCCTCCAGGACTTGCGCTGTGCAGCACCGTCACACACGTGCTTTATCTCACCCTTCCGACTGTCCTGGTGGTAGTGAGAGCATTTCTGTTGTATAGGTGAGGAATCTCAGGCTTAATCACCAGCCCAGTCTGACCTCTGCACCTCTTCTCTCCGCACTTTGTTTTAATGCTCGCTGGCATCAGACATCCCATTTCGCCCCTTCACAGCAGGAGAGGGTCGTCTCTGTAAAGGGCAGGGGCCGAGGACCTCCCTTCCTCGTCCACCGTCCCTGCCTCTGCTTTAGAGGCATCGGAAGCTGGTGTTTCTCACACTTCTCCTGGGCTCTGACCCTGCCAGGGCTTCCCACTGGAGCCACCCAGATGCTGCACCCAGGCTGTGGTGCTGTTGTCCCTCAGCCTCGGCAAGCCTGGCACTGCCCACAGGATCGGACCCCGAGGCTGGGCACGGTGGCCACCAGCCGAGGCAGCTGTCACTTGTTCTGGATGAGTCTGCTGTTGCTCTGACTACCTGAGGCTGGTACTTAATGAGGAAAGAAAGCTAATTAGCTCCCAGTTCTGAAGGCTGGGATCCAGTGGTTCTGTCCGTCCGACCTCTGGTGAGGGCTTCAGGCAGATGGCATCACAGTGGTGGCAGCTGCGCGGAGCAGAGCAGCCTGGCAAGAAAGGAAGCCACGTGTCTGGGGCCAGCCTTGCTCTTCCTGTACCAGCCAGGGTCCCTCAGGAACTACACGAATCCCTCCCGAGGACAACACCCCAGTGACCATCAATCACCGTCCCCTGGGCCCCACCTCCCTCTCTCAACATCGCTGCACTGAGGACCAGGCTTCTAACATAGGAAGCCTTGGGGGACAGTGTTCAAACTGCACCCAAACCCTACCAAGTTGTAAGTGCAGGAAATGGAAGATGGGACACCTGCAACCAGAGTTTCTCTATCCCTCTTTGTTCCTTCTCTCTTTTTATTTTCTTCATAGCCTTTAAAAAGTACTAGGAAGAAGCTGAATATTTTGGATACAGCTGAGGCCGTCTAATACCACTTTGTTGGCTCCCTCCTAGTCGTTGACCACTGTTTGGAATTTGCACCTATGCTTCCCATCCTTTTTCTTCATCCCTAAAGAACGTAGGTTACTGTTTTGAAAGGGCACAAAAATCCAGCTCAAGAAATTTATAAAACCTCAGGGTAGGAAATTATTGGAAGAGATCACTTCTGCTTTCAGGTTGAGGAGGTGAAAGCTTGGAAAGATAATAAGTATTTTAGATTAATATATGGAATGATTGGGATCATTAGCATTTTCATTGGATGAGTTGTGAAATTTGAAAAACAGAGAAAGATGAATAAGTAGGAAACAATTCCAAATATATATACTCCTTAAGTCATTTTATAGCAGGCCAATTTACAAATTTTATATAGTAAGGATTAGAAACAAAAAACTGAGCGACAAATCCAGAAATAGGTGCTAGCTATTATGACAGAAGTGACACGACAGCAGAGAAAGGAATCTTAATAATTTTTTAAAGATTTATTTATTTGAAGGGTAGAATTAAGAGAGAGAGAGACCTTCATCTGCTGGTTCACTTCCCAAATGGCCACAATGGCCAGAGCTGGGCCAATCTGAAGCCAGGAGCCAGGAGCTTCCTCCAGTTCTCCCACTTGAGTGCAGTGGTCCAAGTACCTGGGCCATCTTCCGCTGCTGGATCAGAAGTGAAGCAGCTAGGATTTGAATGAGCACCCATATGGGATGGCAATGGCTTTACCCGCTATGCCACAGTGCTGGCCCCCTAAATTTTTTCTTTTCATTAGAGAGTGAGAGATCCCATATGATGATTCAATCCTCAAATACCTACAACAACCAGAGTTAAGCTGAGCTAAAACTTGGAGCTGGGAATTCAGTTTGGGTCTCCCATATGAGAGACTCAGCCACCATAGCCACCACCTGCCTTCCTGTATTAGTAGGAAGCTGGAATCAGAAGTGGAGCTGGGATTCAAACCCCAGGCAATTTGATATGGGATGTATGTGTCCCAAGAGCAGCTGGAACATGAACTGGTGCCCATCTGGGTTGCCAGCATCATAGACGGCAGCTTTACCCACTACGCCACAGCACTGGCCCCTGGAATCACTTTTTAATAATAAATTTTTTAGGTTGGCGCTGTGGCTTACTAGGCTAATCCTCCACCTGCGGCGCCAGCACCCAGGGTTCTAGTCCCGGTTGGGGTGCCAGATTCTGTCCCGGTTGCTCCTCTTCCAGTCCAGCTCTCTGCTGTGGCCCAGGAAGGCAGTGGAGGATAGCCCAGGTCCTTGGGCCCTGCACCCGCATGGGAGACCAGGAAGAAGCACCTGGCTCCTGGCCTCGGATCAGTGCGGCTCACTGGCTGCAGTGCGCTGGTTATAGCGGCCATCTAGGGGGTGAACCAATGGAAGGAAGACCTTTCTCTCTGTCTCTCTCGCTCTCTCACTCTCTAACTCTGCCTGTCAAAAAAAAAAAATTTTTTTTTTAAAGATTTACTTATTTATTTGAAAGGCAGAGTTACACAGAGAGAAGGAAAGGCAGAGAGAGAGAGAGGTCTTCCATCCTCTGGTTCACTCCCCAGTTGGCTGCAACGGCCGGAGCTGTGCCGATCCGAAACCGGGAGCCAGGAGCTTCTTCCGGGTCTCCCACGTGGGTGCAGGAACCGAAGGACTTGGGCCTTGTTCTGCTGCTTTCCCAGGCCATAGCAGAGAGCTGGATCAGAAGTGGAGTAGCTGGGACTCGAACGGGTACCCATATGGGATGCCAGCAATGCAGGCTGTGGCTTTACCTGTTATGCCACAGCGCCAGCCCCAATAATAAATGTTAATCTGCAAATCCTCTCCTGTCCTGTGTTATATAGGTAACTGGTATAGAATCAAAGCTTTCCCCCGTAAATAACTGAAAAGTAGTGACACACTTAGCCCCTTGGTAGGAAGGTTAAATGTCATCCTGATGAGTTAGGCCATGGCTGTCACCAGAGAAGGAATGAGTGCATGCAGAAATACAGAGATCCTGACATCAGGCAGTCCTGGTTAAACTCAGCACTGCTGCTGTGCAACTGTCAGGTGGTAGTGACGTTTCTGTTGTAGCTTCAGCTTTTTTTCACATAAAACAGGCACAAGACTAACAGTACCCATCTCATAGAATCATTGTGAGGGTGAAATGAAATGTGCATAAAGAGTTTGCACAGTGACTGCACTACTGGAAGGACTTCATGTTGGTATTAAAAAGAATTTCCGGGGCCAGTGCTGTGGCATAATGGATAAAGCCACCATCTGCTTTGCCGGCATCCCATATGGGCACTGGTTTGAGTCCCAGCTGTTCCACTTCCGATCCAGCTCTCTGCTATGGCCTAGGAAGGCAGTAGAAGATGGCCCAAGTCCTTGGGCTCCTGCACCCACGTGTGAGACCCGGAAGAAGCTCCTGGCTTCAGATCAGCTCAGCTCTGGCCATTGCTAGGGGGTGAACCAGTGGATGGAAGACCTTGTCTCTGCCTCTGCTTCTCTGTAGCTCTGCCTTTCAAATAAATAAGTAAATATTCTAAAAAATAATAAAATAAAAAGAATTTCAGGGGCAGGTGTTTGGCTAAGTGGTTGTACTGCCAGTTGGGACACCTGTACACCTGCATCTTGGTTTGATCCCTGATTCCAGCTTCCTCCTAATGTGGACCCTTGGAGGTAATGGTGATAGCTCATGTAGTTGGGTTCCTAACACCCATGTGGAGCCCTGGATTACAACTCTAACTTCCCCCTTTCCCCAGCCCTGACTGTTGTGGGCATTTGGAGAATGAACCAGTAGGTGGAAGCTCTCTCCCTCTCTCTGTCTTGCTCTTTCTCTCTCTCTCTCTCTCTCTCTCTCAAATTGAAGAAAAAACTTCATGTGACAAAAAAAAAAAAAAAAGAAAAAAAGAAAAAATAGAGAAAATATATTTGCCTGATATAAAGTGTTGTTGAAAAGAAAAAAAGAATGGAAGAATCTTTAACTTGCTGGCAAATAAATAGCATTTAATCCAAAATTCTTTCAGAGTAGCAGATAGAACTCCTGGGCACATCCAAGGTGAACCAGACGCAAAAGTCTACACCTTTGTGGCACAGTAAGTAGGTCAAGGTCCTCAGGCCAGAGTTACCAGACCTTGTATCCTGCAGCCTGGCAGATTCCACTTTGGAGATTCTAGAACAGTTAGTCCCCTAATGTACTCTGCAGCATCACATTACTTGGAGCCTCCTGAGATGACCACCGGGGTCCAGTGGAGAGGCTGCCACACTGGTGAGCTGGGTCTCAGAACTGATTGTTCCTCCTCTCTCCTCTTCCAGCCAAACTGCAGGCTGCTGTGGTGCTGAACCCTGGCTACTCCTCCATCCCACCTGTTTTCCAGCTCTGTCTGAACTGGAAGGGGGAGAAGACAAACAGCAACGATGACAACATTCGGGTAAGGCCTGAGCAGGTGACAGGAGGAGCAGGGAGAGCCCCTGGTGGACGGAGGGCAGGAGCAGACTCTGCTGCGGCTGAGTGTGGCACAGAGGGGCTTGGCGGGATTTGCAGGGTGTTCTGGAGCCTGCATGGCACAGTGGAGGAAAGAGCCTGACTGAGACCACCCGCTTAGTGAGATAAACTCAGAGGCCTGACAGTCACCCTGGAGTGAGGTTTTTTTTATCTGGAGATATTGTGTCTGTTCTTGATGGTTATTTGTGCCTATTGATTTGAATTGACACAGGCCTCCTGGCCATGGCGCGTGTTTTTAATCCAAGCGCCTTCTGGCTTGGATCTTGAGATTCCTCCTCCCCACACCTCCGTCTTCCTGACTGTGGGCATGTGAGGCAGGGCAAGTAATGGTCAGAATTTAAGACTTTGTTGTCTTGAAGAGAGGGAGCCTCAGGTCAACCCGGTCCAGCTTGATGTGGTGGCCCAGCATCTGCAGAGACACCAGCCCTCAGGCCCAGCCAGGGACAGAAGCCTGACCTGCGAGGTCCCCTCTCAGGGAGGCAGTGCTGAGCTGCTGGCCTTCTCGCTGCACAGGCCATGGAGAGCGAGGTCAACGTGTGCTACAAGGAGCTGTGCGGCCCCCGGCCCAGTCACCAGCTCTTGACCAATCAGCTGCAGCGGCTGTGCGTGCTGCTGGACGTCTACCTGGAGACCGAGAGCCACGATGACAGTGTGGAGGGGCCCAAGGAGTTTCCCCAGGAGAAGATGTGTCTGCGGCTTTTCAGGTGAGGGGAGAGCAGGAGGACTGGGACTCTGGTGACTTCTCTGGGGACGAGGGGCAGAGATGAGAGCCGTGGAGCAGGTGGGTCTCACTGTGCAGGGATCTGCCCGGAGGGCATGCGTGCTCCCAGTGTGCTTGTGGAATTAAAACCCTGCTGTTGGATTTCCCGGGGGGAGCCTGCTCCCTCCTTCCTGAAGCTTTCCCCGCGGCCTTCTCCCCTCAGCCCGGTCCCCCTGTTCACGACACCCTCGGAGGTGGCACCTACTAAAAGAGCAGTGCTAGGCTATGAATCAAGAGGGCTTTGCTACACTTTCTGTACTTCCTGTGACAATGAGGTTTGCTTGCTTTTTACTGCCCATGTAAGCGGTTTTAAGTTGCATCCTCATTGGTCCCCAGGAAGTCTTCTCTACCCCTGGGGTGCATCGCATCAAGTATCAAGTAGGAATCACAGCTCTGGTCAGTGGGACATCATGGAAGGAACCAGCTGCAATGGAAGAAAGACACACATGCTCATCCCTGCCAGCTGGGTGACCTAAGAAGTGTCACTACCGCTCAGCTTCTGAGCTCATTTCTAAATCTAAAGTCTGAAGTGGGCCGGCGCCGTGGCTCACTAGGCTAATCCTCCATCTGCAGCACCGGCACCCCGGGTTCTAGTCCCAGTTAGGGCACCAGATTCTGTCCCAGTTGCTCCTCTTCCAGTCCAGCTCTCTGCTGTGGCCCAGGAAGGCAGTGGAGGATGGCCCAGGTCCTTGGGCCCTGCACCCGCATGGGAGACCAGGAGGGAGCACCTGGCTCCTGGCTTCGGATAGGCGCAGCGTGCCGGCTGTAGCAGCCACTTGGAGGGTGAATCAACGGAAAAAGGAAGACCTTTCTCTCTGTCTCTCTCTCACTGCCTAACTCTGCCTGTCAAAATAAATAAATAAAGTCTGAAGTGAACTTAAAAGTAATACCTTCTAGCTTATGATGAATTGCAGACAGTTCATGTAAACCTTCCAGATGGTTCCTGGCACAAGACCAGGGCTCAGAGTATGACAGCAGATCTTGAGAGCCTGGTATTGAGTGTCTGGGCTCACAGTTCTTCCAGCTACTTCTCTCCTTGTTGCTGGGTCATTTCCTTCCCTTTCATCTCGAATGTTCTTGTTCTTTAAGAGCCAGTTCTAAAACCCCAGCATCCACTGCTCAGGTGTCCCTTCCATTGGCGTAGGGGTTCGGGAGGAGTGGCGCGTGGGCTATCATCTGTTTCTAATTGAGACATCCTCTTTGTTCCCTGTCAGTCTGAAGAAGACCTTACCTTCCCCGCACCTTGTTCTTAGACAGCCAGTTTGTGCCCTGGAAGCAGTCCCAGCATCCTCCTGCCTTGTCTGGCCTCTGCTGGCCAGGGTCACTGTGTTGTCTGCTAATAGATAGCCTCAGCTCCCAAGTGGCTGTTGGGAGGTGGAGCTGGTGATCAGGGGTTGGTGCCTTCCCGCACCTGCCCTTCCTGGTGGCTCTGTGGGAGACCTCAGCTGTCCCACATGCCCAGTCTGCTGTAGCACATTTGCAGTGTGGAAGTTCTCACATGGCCAGTGCTTACTTCTACTTCTCTAATGGTTCCCGGGGGTCCCATTTCCAGAAGTGCTGTGATCCTCTGTACTCTGGCAACTCAGCTCCAATTAATTCCACAGCCTGTAGCTGGGAGATGTGAAGGATTAGGCCAACTACCTGGGGTGCAGAGTGCCGGCGTAGACAGCAGGAGACTTGCAGGCTGGCTCAGCCCCTGGCAGGAGACCATCAGGCAGTGGTTTGCCCATCTGCAGTCTGCCTAGATGAGCCTGGGTGACTGGGTGTTGCCAGAAAGACCTATTCCAGCTCCTACCTGTGCGATTAGGACACACATTTAGCCCCTTTGAGCTTCACAAGTGCCTACCTCAGGCATGCTAGGAGGGTGAAGGTAAATGCTATGGAGCGTGTATAGAGCCTGCCATGGTGCAGGCCAAGTAAGGCTTCAGCCTTTGGTGTTGAAATAAAAACCTCCTTACTCTCCTCTTTACAATCCCTGTTCTCTCTCCGTGTGATCTCCACCACCACCACCTAGCTGTTAGACTAAAATCAGGGTTTTACCTTCTATATACCTCAGCCAGGGCTAGACCAGGAGCCAGGAACTCCATCCTGGTCTCCCACGTGGGTGGCAAGGACCCAAAGCACTTGGATCATCATCTGCTGCCTCCCAGGTACACAATAGCAGGAAGCTGGGTCGGAAGCAAAACAGCCAGGACTGGAATCAGCGCTCTGATGTGGACCGCTGGTATCACCAGAAGCAGCGTAGCCCTCTGTGCCACAACGCCAGCCCCTCTGGTTACCATTAACGTCAATGCTAGATCTACAGAAATGGGGGAGGAACTCTTGACTGAACATTGAGTGGAGTGGTGTGGACAGGCTCCTCTGAAGCTTTGCTTGGGGGCTAGAATTCCAGGTAAAGCTCGGGCCAGGCTTCCCTCCCAGGTTTTGCCTGGCCTGTCACAACTCAGCCTTCCTGTGGCATGTAGGCCTTGGCATCAGACCCGATTTTGAATTTTGACCTTGCTACTTCCAGGTGTGTAGTGTTGGGCAAATAGTTTGCCTCCTCAGCCTGTTTGTTCACCTGTAAACCTTGTAAGATGGGAGCCGGCACCATGGCTCAGCAGGTTTAGCTGCAGCCCACAATGCCAGCATCACATATGGGCGCCAGTTTGAGTTCCAGCTGCCTTACTGCTGAGCCAGCTCCCTTCTAATGCGCCTTGGAGGCAGCAGAGGATGGCCCAAGTACTTGGGCCCCTGCACCTGTGTGGGAGACCTGGCTGAAACTCCTAGCTTCAGCCTGGCGCAGCCCTGGCCGATGTGGCCATTTGGGGCATGAATCAGGGGATGGAAGATCTCTTTGTTTCTTTCTCTTTCTGTAATTCTGCCTTTCAAATAAATGTTTAAAGTAACAAAAACAGAAAACTTATAAAATGATAGAAATAGCATTAAGAGGTAGTTAAGTACAGAGCACACAGCACTGTGCCAGATTATTTTCACTCCCAGCTATCTGCTTATGTGAGTATTGCCCTACAAGAGGAGGTTATTAAAAATTCCTTTCTTAGTTTTTTACAAATTTATTTATTTATTTGAAAGTCACAGAGAGAGAGACAGAGACAGATCTTCCATCTGCTGGTTTACTCCCCAAGCAGCTGCAACAGCTGGAGCCAGGCTGATCCAGAGCCAGGAGCTTTTTATGGGTCTCCCACATGGGTGGTAGGGTCCCAAGTACTTGGGCCATCTTTTCTGTTTTCCCAGGCACATTAGCAGGGAGCTGGATCAGAAGTGGAACAGCTGGGAATCTAACCAGCATCCATATGGATAGCAGCTTTACTGGCTATGCCACAGTGCTGGCCCCAAAACTTCTTTATTTTTTTAATTATAGAAATGTGTTTGTGGGGCCGGCGCCATGGCACAGTAAGTTAATTCTCCACCTGCAGCGTCAGCATCCCATATAGGCACTGGTTCTAGTCCCGCTGCTTCTCTTCCAATCCAGCTCTATGCTATGGCCTAGGAAAGTAGCAGAAGATGGCCCAAGTTCTTGGGCCCCTACACCCACATGGGAGACCCGGAAGAAGCTCCTGGCTTCAGATTGACACAGATCTGGCCGTTGTGACCATTTGGGGAGTGAACCAATGGACGGAAGACCTTTCTCTCTCTCTCCCTCCCTCTCCCTCTCCCTCTCCCCCTCTCCCCCTCTCCCCCTCTCCCCCTCTCCCCCTCTCCCCCTCTCCCCCTCTCCTCCTCTCCTCCTCTCCTCCTCTCCCCTTCTTCCCCCTTCCCCTCTTCCCCTCTCCTCCTCTCCTCCTCTCCCTCTCCCTGTCTGTAACTCTACCTCTCAAATAAAATAAAATAAAATCTTAAAAAAAAAAAAAAAAAGAAATGTTTGTTGTTAGCCATATAAATAACTGGGGCAACTTTGGGCACAGTGGTTAAGCTGCCGCTTGCAGCAGCCAAGTACTATATCAGATGGAGTACCTGGGTTCAAGTCCTGGCTGTGCTTCTGATCTAGCTTCTGAGAGGGAAAAAGGGAGAGAGAGAGATCCTCCATCCATTGGTTCACTCCCCAAACAGCTGGGACTGAGCCAGGCCAAAGCTAGAAGCCAGCAGCTTCCTCCAAGTCTCCCACATGGGTGCAGGTGCCCAAGCACGTGAGCCATCTCCCACTGCTTTCCCAGGCCGTTAGCAGGGAGCTGGATCAGAAGTGGAGCAGCCAATACCATATGAGATGCCCACACTGAAGGTGGAAGATTAATCTTCGACGCCACAGCCACAGCCCCGATTAAAAAAAAAAAATTTTTAAACATACAAATAACAAGGAACAGTCTAGAAACAGAGGGTACCTGAGCTCTATCCCCAGAAGTGCCCCCTGTCAGTGAGAGTTTTTGTATTTTCTGTTTTGTGTTTCAAGCACATAAAGACATCTTTACAAAAATAACACCTCACATATTGTTCTACAGTCTGCCTTCTCACAAAGTCCTGTGTCGTGCAACTCTGCCACTTTTTTTTTTCTCTTTGCAACCACCTCGTATTCTTTTGTGTGAACAAAGCATAATTTACTTTGTCAGTCCAGAAGGCATGGTGTTAACTGCTCTTCCTTCTCCTGTTTCTCCAGGGGTCCCAGCAGGATGAAGCCGTTTAAATATAACCATCCTCAGGGATTCTTCAGCCATCGCTGACCTCCTGCTCCAGCTATCATTTTCCGCAAAGCACCGCCAGAGTCCAGGGCCTCTGCTTCCTATTGTATTGCACGTGTGGCTCATGGTACTCTCCAAAGACACCAATTAAAGTGTCCCCTGACCAAGTGGTCTGTCTGTGGCTCCTTGTGGGTGTAGAAGCATCTAAGAATAGATGTTTTTTATGTGGCCAAGAAAAGCAGAGTGCAAAAAGATTCCAGTTGTGCAGAGATGCTGCCCCCATTTCCGCACACCTGTTTTCACAAGGGGGTCCTTACCATCTCGGTGTGCATCATCGTAGGCCCCTGCAGTCAAGAGAAGCCAAAGGCAGCAGAGCACGAAAAGCGAAAGCTCTGCTTCCTTCTACTCCACTCTTTCCACCTCGCTTGCCAGTGCACTTGATGGCTGAATTCTCTGATTGTTGGATGTTAATAAACATCTCACGGTGCAGCATGGAAAAGAAGAGGGGACCGGTGCTGTGGTGTAGCGGGTAAAGCTGCCGCCTGCAGTGCTGGCAGCCCATATGGGTGCCGGTTCGAGTCCCAGCTGCTCCACTTCCAATCCAGCTCTCTGCTATGGCCTGGGAAAGCAGTAGAAGATGGTCCAGGTCCTTGGGCCCCTGCACCCACGTGGAAGACCCGGAGGAAGCTGCTGGTTCCTGGCTTCAGATTGGCACAGCTCTGGCCGTTGCAGCCATTTGGGGAGTGAACCAGCAGATGGAAGACCTCTCTTTCTCTCTCTCTCTCTGTGTCTTTCCCTCTCTGTAACTCTGCCTTTCAAATAAATAAATAAATCAGTTTTTTAAATAAATCAGTTTTTTAAAAAAATCAATAGAGAGTAATTCTGAATCTTGTAGGGTTTCATTAAGTTGATGAGGGTGATGTCAGAATCACATGGCGAGCCCGTGGCCAGTGAGAATGGCAGAACCAGCAGAGCGGACGTCGGAGGAGAATCTTCATGGAGAGGGTGTCATCAGTGCCTGCAGACACAACGGCTGCACTCTGAAAGGGTAAGAGAAGTCCTGGGAAAATAGCCAGCACCCTTTAAGATGTTTGCAAGTGAGATTGTCTCATGATCATCCTGCCGTAGGTGTCAGAGTGGAGGTGGCTGGTGTTTTAATTCAGCAGGTTAAGCCACACACGGGACACTGGCCACCCATATCAAAGTTCTGGTTCACGCCCTCCTCCACTTCTGATCCAACTCCTTGCAAATGCACCTGGGAAGGCAGCACGTGATGGCCCAAGTACTTGGGCCCCTGTCACCCAAGTGGAGACCAGGAAGAAGTTCCTGCCTTCAGCCTGGCACAGCCCTGGCTCTTGTGCCCATTTGCGAAGTGAACCAGCATATAGAAGACCTTTCTCTTTCTTTCCGTCACTTGATCAAATAAATCTTAAAACAAAAATAAAAAGATGGTGTATATTGTTCTTAGTTGTGTTTTTTTCTTTCTTTTTAAGATTTATTTATTCATTTATTTGAAAAGCAGAGTTACAGAGAGGCAGGGGGAGAGAGAGGTCTTCATTCGCTGGTTCACTCCCCAAATGACTGCAATGGCCGGAGTTGTGCCAATCCAAAGCCAGAAGCCAGCAGTTGCTTCCAGGTCTCCCACGCGGGTACAGGGGCACAAGGACTTGGGCCATCTTCCACTGCTTTCCCAGGCCATAGCAGAGAGCTGGATTAGAAGTAGAGCAGCCAAGACAAACTGGTACCCATATGGGATGCTGACACTGCAGGTGGTGGCTCTTCCAAATCCTGTACCACAGCGCCAGCTTTTTTTTTATTTTTGTCAGAAAAATTTTATGCTTCTCCCTGTCCCTCCCATTAGTACTCCATTCATTCATTATTCATTTTAAGAAAACAGAGAGATGTAAAAATATCTCAGGGTTATGAGAGTTGGCAACTGTAATTGAAGGCTTCTTAATTTCAAGGTGAATAAAGTTTAGTTTTCTTTAATTTTATTATTTTTAAAAACAAACAGCCAGCGCCGCGGCTCACTAGGCTAATCCTCCACCTTGCAGCGCCGGCACACCGGGTTCTAGTCCCAGTCGGGGCGCCGGATTCTGTCCCGGTTGCCCCTCTTCCAGGCCAGCTCTCTGCTGTGGCCAGGGAGTGCAGTGGAGGATGGCCCAAGTGCTTGGGCCCTGCACCCCATGGGAGACCAGGAGAAGCACCTGGCTCCTGCCATCGGATCAGCGTGGTGTGCCGGCCACAGCACGCCGGCCGTGGCGGCCATTGGAGGGTAAACCAACGGCAAAGGAAGACCTTTCTCTCTGTCTCTCTCACTTTCCACTCTGCCTGTCAAAAAAAAAAAAAAAATTTCCATCCAGTGGTTCACTACCCAAATGTCCTCAGTAGGTATGGCTGGGCCAAGCCAAAGCTAGGAGCCAGGAACTCAAGTTTCGTTGTCCTACATGCGGGGCAGGGACCTGAGGACATGCGCTGTCACCTGCCATCATCCAAGGTATGCATTAGCGACCAGCTGAAATTGGAATGGTGCCAAGACTCAAGCAGGCACTCGTAGGGGATACTGGCATCTCAGTTGGTGTCTTAACCACTAAGCCCAATGCCCATTCCTGGATACGTTTTCCAATAGTCCCAAAGCATTCTTTCTCCAGCATTCATTAGTTTGGTCCCCATTAAAAGCATAAGCACTCATTTTGCTGAGTATCCTTGGTAACGTGGGCCTGTATAAAACATGGTATAAAGCTGTTTCTCCTGTCCTCTCAGCTGATCACTGCATCCCAGGGATAAGGATTTTCTGAGAGAGTTGGAAACCTGAGCCCCATGAAAAGCAAGGCAGCACCACTCCCGACCTATCCTGGCCTCACCTCAGCCTGAGTCAGCCGCTTCAATTCCAGAGGTGGGTATTCCCCAGCCAGAGGGCGTGTGTGCTAGCCCGCCCATCATGGGAGCTGCCTAGCAATGAATTCCCAAGCCTGCTCCAAATATGCTGGCTGAGTTGATCTGAGGTAGACCAAGGAAGTGTATTTTTATTTTTTTAATTTTATTCTCTCTGAGAGAAACAAATTCCCATTTACTGGTATACTCCCTAGATACCTGCACCCCCAGCTAGGATAGGAGCTGGGGTCTGGGAACCCCATTCAGGTTTCACATGTGAATGATAGGAACCCATGCCCTTGGGCTGCCGTCACTGCCTCCCAGGGCTGCATTAGCAGGGAGCAGGCACTCCAATGTAGGACGTGGGCGTCCTAACTGTTAGGCCAAACACCCGCCAAGGAAGTGTATTTTTAACAAGCTCCCCAGGTGCAGTTTGCCCTAGTCTCTTTTTGGAAGTCGCTGTACTTTCTTCCCGCCCCTCATTTTTCTTGTGGACTCCTCACGTGATGCAGGAAGGCCGGTTCCCCGTGAGGAGCTCCCCTTCTCCTGTCTTCTGCACCCCAGACAGCAGCACGAGCCTCTGGGAGCATCTTTCTCTCCACATAGGGAGGTATCCTTGTCTTTTCCCTGACCTACGTGCCTGAGACTTTGTCCCAGACGCCACCCCCTTGGTCTGGCCACCCTCAGGTCTGGTCTTGTATCTCACTGCTTGTGCTGAATGAGGTTAAAGTAGAGCCTAAAAATAGTTCCTTTAATGGCCCCTGCATTGCAGCCTCCACGTCTGTTCTTGGCTGGAAGGTGGCCAAACTGAGTCAACACAAAAGTGCATCTTGAGATGGAAGCAGAGACAACGCTGCAGAGAGGCTTTGTGAGTGCTTCCCAGGCAGGGGGTGGTGCAGCCTGTCACTCTCCAGGGAGGGCTGACCCTTTTCAAAGGGAGCAGGCGGCACAAAAGAAGTCACTTGGCCTTATAGAGAAGGGTCTTAAAATACGTGAGAAGCCTGGGACAGTCCAGCCCCTGTAACTACTTCATAGTTGTCCCAGCCTAGGATGGACAGAGTCGGGGGGAGGGGCCTGGTTTGGAAGGACCTGAAATATTCTTCCCTGCTGGAACTGTCCAGAGCTTTTTTTTTTTTTTTTTTTTTGGACAGGCAGAGTGGACAGTGAGAGAGCGAGAGAAAGGTCTTCCTTTTACCGTTGGTTCACCCCCCAGTGGCTGCTGCGGCTGGCGCGCTGCGGCCGGCATACCGTGCTGATCCGAAGCCAGGAGCCAGGTGCTTCTCCTGGTCTCCCATGCGGGTGCAGGGCCCAAGGACTTGCGCCATCCTCCACTGCACTCCCGGGCCACAGCAGAGAGCTGGACTGGAAGAGGCAACCAGGACTAGAACCCGGTGTGCCAGTGCCGCAGGCGGAGGATTAGCCTATTGAGCCACGGCGCCAGCCCAGAGCCTTTTTGCAAGTTATATCTGGGACATACCCCAGACTGAAATATTTTTTTAAAAAATATTTATTTGAAAGAATTAGAGAGGTAGAGATAGAGAGATGTCTTTCATCTAGTGGGTCACTCCCCAAATGGCCACAGCGACTGGAGCTGGGCTGATCTGAAGCCAGGAGCCAGGAGCTTCCTCTGGATCTCCCAAGTAGGTTACAGGGGCCCTGGCATTTGGGCCATCTTCCACTGCTTTCCCAGGCACAGTAGCTGGGAGCTGGATCAGAAGTGGAGCGGCCAGGACTTGAATCAGTATACATACAGGATGCTGGCACTGCAGGCTTTAACCCACTGTGCCACAGAGCCAGCCCCTGCAATACCTTTTTGTCCTAGAACCTGGCCTTTTAATCTCTCTTTTATTTGAAAGAACAACAGAGAACTTCTGTCTACTGTTTCACTAATAGCCAGTGCTGGGATAGACCAAAGCCAGGATCCTAGAACTCCAACCAGTCTCCCATGTGTGTGGCAGGAGCCCACTCACTTTTTTTTTTAAACTTTTTTTTTTTTTTTTTGACAGAGTGGACAGTGAGAGAGAGAGACAGAGAGAAAGGTCTTCCTTTGCCGTTGGTTCACCCACCAATGGCCACCGCGGCCGGCACACCGCGCTGATCCGATGGCAGGAGCCAGGTGCTTATCCTGGTCTCCCATGGGGTGCAGGGCCCAAGGACTTGGGCCATCCTCCACTGCACTCCCTGGCCACAGCAGAGAGCTGGCCTGGAAGAGGGGCAACCGGGACAGAATCCGGCGCCCCGACTGGGACTAGAACCCGGTGTGCCAGCACCGCCAAGGCGGAGGATTAGCCTA